AGGAGTTCCCGCTTCCTCTTTCACTTTCATTTATAGTTTCACGTGGATTACCTTTCACTTTACTCACGGTAGTTTTCCCCCAGGGTTTTTATTATAGTTATCAGTTCCAGTTTAGTTGAAGTTTTAAACTAATTACAACACTACAAATCTATTACATTTATTGAGGTATGACAATGGAAAGTCCACTACGATGATAACAAACAGCGGTGAAGACAAGACAGCAGAAACAGAGAGTGTACAGCTACCAGACACCTGTGATCCGGAGATATCTCAACACCTGTCTTCTGAAGGTATTGCTTATGTTACACCTGTTGTTTCTCTGTTATGTGGAATCTGTCCCAAAGATCTTATATCAGAACCTTGTAGCATTCAATGTGATTCCTGTAAGACATTTTTCCATCCTAAATGTCTTGGCAAGTCTGCACCAGTGGACAGTGAACGGTGGGTTTGTCAGAAATGTAGGGATAATGTAGAGAACCAGCAGATCATTGATGCTCCTGACGAGGAAAATGATATCTGTTATAACTGTCCCGTGTGTAGGAGTGTTGTGGGGGATTCGGATAAGGCATTGGGTTGTGATGGCTGTGAAGAATGGTTCCATGCACCTTGTTTGTTTATCAGTGAAACCGAGTACGCTGAGATGGATAATGAAGAGATATGGTTTTGTGATACTTGTCAAGCAGTGAAAGCAAACAAAATTAATTGGGGCTCAATGGTTGATGAAGAGTTGATAGCTGAGAAAGTCCAAGCTGTTTATCAAGAGATGGTGACATGGAGAAAGAATCTTTTCCTAGTTCCCAGAGGTAAATCAGGTAGCGACTTTATAAAAGAACTGACTCGGCTCATCCTCTTATTTGCAGATGCTACCAAGTGGGAAAGGCTATCGTTCGCACTGGTTCATATCTTCTTGCCAATCATGTTGCAAAAACCGTCAAGCAAGTCAAAAGCAAGAGACCATGTAACATATCTCACCAAGCGTTTGGTTAAATGGAAAAATGGAGAACTTGACGATCTAATGATGGAGTGCAGGAGTATTCAGAAAGCCTTGGTGCAGCAACAAAAAATCAGCGAGGAATCCAGGAAGAAGAGTTTCTGCCGACTAATACTTCTTGGGAAAGTTAAACAAGCCACCAAATATGTTGACAGTTCCAATGACACCTTAGGAGTTCACAGCCTAACAGCAAACATTAAACAGGTCCTTGGGGAGAAACACCCTCCAGCTGTTAAAGCAGATCCAGTTGTTCTGCACCCTCACAGTACTCCTCCACCTCAGGAAGTGATATTTGAGAGGATTGACGCAGAGACTGTCAAGAGGGCTTGTTTATATTTGGATGGATCAGGCGACCCAACACTAACGGACTCAGATTTGTGGAAGCATATCATCTGCAGCAAATCATTTGGCAAAGCATCAGTGACACTTGCTGAGTCTATAGCAATTGTTGCAAGGCGCCTTTGTAGAGAAGATATCCATCGTAGCTGTCTGAAAGAGTTCACTGCATGCAGATTAATCCCTCTTGATAAAGGCCAGGATAAGAACGGGAAACCTGGTGTAAGACCAATTGGAATCGGCGAGATATTGCGCAGAATCATTGGAAAAGCAGTTATAATGTCTTTCAAAACTGATATACAATATGCTGCTGGCCCACTGCAGACCTGTGCAGGGCTCAAATCAGGAATAGAGGCTTCCATTCATGCAATGAGACAGATCTGGGAAGACAGTGACACTGAAGCAATACTACAGGTTGACGCTGATAATGCGTTCAATCGTCTTAATAGAGAAGCAGCCCTTCACAATGTTCATGAGATCTGTCCTCCGCTCTATCAGTATCTAAAGAACCACTACCAAAAGCCAGCAGACCTGATCATTAATACTACCGAGGACCACTACCAACTTAAGTCTGAGGAAGGTTCAACTCAGGGAGATGTAGCAGCAATGGCATTCTATGCGTTAGGGATCAAGCCTCTAGTAGATGACCTAGCCACAGCCTCCAAGCCCAGTGTTTGCAAACAGTCTTGGTATGCAGACGACAGTAGTGCTGGTGGAAAGATTGAAGGTATTAAGATATGGTGGGATACGCTGTTGGAGCAAGGACCAAAGTATGGATATTACCCAAAAGCCAGTAAGACCGTCCTGATTGTGAAGAAAACCGAGGACCTAGATCTTGCGCAGAAAGTATTCTCAGGCACTGGTATTAAAATCGAGTCTGAAGGAGAACGCCATTTGGGTGCAGCAATTGGCAGCGAAGTTTTTAAGAACAAATATGTCTCAGATAAAGTCCATAAATGGTGTCAGGACATCAAGCTGTTGTCATCAATTGCTGTTGAGGAGCCCCAAGCTGCTTTGACTGCATATACTAAGGGAATTTGTCACCGGTGGACGTTCATTCAGAGGACCATCCCGGGTATAAGTCACTTGTTTCAACCATTGGAGGATTGCATCAGAACAGATTTTATTCCAGCAATCTTGGGTAAGAACGTATCAGACTTGGACCGCTCCATATTTGCATTGCCAGTCAGACATGGTGGCCTAGGTATCTCCAACCCAGTTGAAAACTGCAATAGAGAATTCACAGCCTCAGTCACCATCACAAAAGACCTCACAGACCTGATTATCAACCAGCAAAACACCCTTGAATATTACAACATGTCAATTCAAAATGACACTATAAAAAGTCTCAAGGCAATCAAGGAGAAACACTTATTTACGGTTAGCAAATCAATAGAGGACAGTGTAAGAGATCCCAACCTAAAGAGATCTCTCCAGTTCATCAAAGAGAAAGGTTCAGGATGTTGGCTTACTGCACTTCCATTGAAGAGATTTGGCTACTCCCTGAACAAGATTGAGTTCCGTGATGCTCTGTACTTGCGTTATGGTTGGGAGATCCCTAACACCCCATTTCACTGTGCTTGTGGAGAGAGAAATAATGTGAATCACACACTTATATGCAAGAAAGGTGGCTATGTTTCTATGAGACACAACAACATCCGCGATCTAAATGCAGAGCTGCAGCGTGAAGTATGCAGAGATGTAGTGACTGAGCCAGCATTGATACCCCTTGATAATGAAGAAATTGTTGGTACCAATGCTGATAGAGCTGCACCTGATGTATCCTCACGAGGTCTCTGGAGCACATTTGAACGAACATTCTTTGATGTCTGTGTTACCCACCCCAACTCACCCACATATGACAAAAAAGATATGGAACAGATCTATAAAGTTCATGAAATGAGGAAAATGAAAAAGTACAACAACAGAATCATCCAGGTGGAAAAAGGCACCTTTACTCCACTTATATACTCAACAAATGGCGGATGGGGTCCACAAGCCACAAGATACCACAAGAGACTCGCTGAAAAACTATCCCAGAAGAGAGGAGAAGACTATGCGGCTATTATGTGTTATATGCGCACCAGGATTAGATTCTCAATCCTCAGGAGCACCCTGATAGCGGTCAGGGGTGAGAGAGGGAGACGGCAATCGTATACATTGCCAGTCAGTGTAACTTCGTTTAACTTGATACCTGCCACCATGGACTATGAATGTTTCTAGACACTATCCTTTTGATATTGAGATATTGGTATTTCAGACCACGTGTACATCGTTCCTTTTTTTACGACACAGTAATTTATTGACACTCACAGCTATAATTTTAATCATTGAATCAGTATTTTTATCTGTGCTCTGTGAATGCATCACATGAATCAGTTTTTTAATCTATTAACTTATTACACATTTGTGCTCTGCTTTAGCATCACTTGACTATTTAAAAAAAATTGTTTGTTCAGGCCATGACCTTATAGTCAGCCAATTGGCCATTGCTATATTATGTGTATATTGTTTGAATATTCTTTTCTCCTCGTTTAGTTGAAGTCCTCATCATTCAGAAGTACCTCATATAGTAAGAAGAACATCATCATCAGGAGTAGTAGTTTTAATTTAATAGTAGTTTAATCTAATAGTAAAAAGACATTATTTAGTTTAGTATTGATTTGTGTATTAGTTATAGCAGTGTGAGTAGCTGAGTCACACCAATCACATTTCAATCACTCATTCACTATTTGAGGGTGAGTACATAGAGTAACAAGGTTACATTTGAAACACCATTTATTTGTATAACCTCTTTATTCATCTAATTTGTATTTATAATAATTGAGTATTATTTGTTATTTAATTAACCCAAGAACAGGGTTCCAACAGTGGTAGCAGGAAGTGGTTACGATCCACCGACCTCTGGGTTATGGGCCCAGCACGCTTCCACTGCGCAGTTTTTCTGTCATTACGATAACTCGATACAGAAATCTCTAAAGATCACACTTGTTTACAGTGTTGGATGGGTATTTTTTGTGCACCTGTCAGTCTAAGAACGATGTTTCCATTCCGTTCATAGAAAAGAGATTTTCGTATTAAGAACTTTGATAGTTATTAGCTAATAGTTAGACTGTATTAATTCTATCGGACGTTTTGTACAAGTATTATATCTCTCAGATCTCACGCTCAGCGTGGAAGGCAGTCATTTTAGCCACTAGCCTGTTTTACAGCGGATGTTTTTCCCGCGTTAACAGAGATTTAATCCACTTGTACCACGTGACTCGCCGAATATGGAATAATCGTTAACTGCTTTTTTAGTTATCTGCTTTCATGACAGTGTATCGACACGTATTTAGGATTAACTCAGATTGAGCCGCGCATTTTTTTATATAGCTCAAACTCATAGAAAGTATTTTTAGCGCGCACGACACGTTTTTGTGCAGCGTGCGGGATTAGAATATTTTTAACTTAACATTTTTTCTAGAGTTTATTTCCTAATTTAACTTGGATAGTCGGATATCTATTTTTTAACAAAGAAAGTATAGGGAGTTATGACTTTAAGATTGTAAAAGTCATGAGTTAAATTATTAGTAAGTACTTTTTCTTTTTTAAAGTAGGGGGAATGTTAGAATCTTAATTCTATTTGTAGCTTGTTTTTGTACTTCATATTACTAACCCTGTATCTCACTTTAGCAAAGGTTTAGTTCCAGTGATTGTATATACAGTGTTGGGGTAAAGGGACTCCAGAAGGCAGACAAGGCTCGACTCCAGACTCTAGTTGAAGTAACAGAAGAGAGAGGAGTGTCCAGTGTTTAGTTGACTCCAGACTCTAGCGAAGCAGAAGGGAGAGGAGTGACGTTGTCGACTCCAGACTCTAGCGTAGCAGAAGGGAGAGGAGTGACGTTGTTTTAGTGATCCCACAGATTCCAGTCGACAGATACTATCTGTGTTCTGTGACGTGGAAAGAGTGGTAAGTAGTTTATAGTTATAGTTTAGTAGTTTAGTCTAGGAGTTCCCGCTTCCTCTTTCACTTTCATTTATAGTTTCACGTGGATTACCTTTCACTTTACTCACGGTAGTTTTCCCCCAGGGTTTTTATTATAGTTATCAGTTCCAGTTTAGTTGAAGTCCTCATCATTCAGAAGTACCTCATTTATAGTAAGAAGAACATCATCATCAGGAGTAGTAGTTTTAATTTAATAGTAGTTTAATCTAATAGTAAAAAGACATTATTTAGTTTAGTATTGATTTGTGTATTAGTTATAGCAGTGTGAGTAGCTGAGTCACACCAATCACATTTCAATCACTCATTCACTATTTGAGGGTGAGTACATAGAGTAACAAGGTTACATTTGAAACACCATTTATTTGTATAACCTCTTTATTCATCTAATTTGTATTTATAATAATTGAGTATTGTCGTGAGATTTATTATTACTAATATGTACTATTTACAGGATGTTTAATATTTAATGTAACTCTGTTAACAACTGTCTCATTTGGTAACTCTCGACACACAACACTTTAAACATCCTCAACTAAACAAAAGTATGGATAAAGTACTGAGACCGGATAGACTAGAACTGGACCTAGCTACATCAACTCAAGGAGGAAACGCAAACAAATACACACATTGGAGCACTACGATGGACAACTTCATCGAGACACTGAAAGAAACCGTAACTAGTGACGAAGATAAATACAAGGTTTTAATAAACTTTATTAGCCCTGATATCTTCCTGCACATATCGGGGCTAACTAAATACACTGAAGCCAGCACCCTCTTACAGGCTCTATTCGTAAAGACGAAAAACCCAAACTATGCTCGTCACTGCCTGGCCATGAGAACCCAGAAGGAAGGAGAATCCATCGAATTATACTTACTGGCACTAGAAAAACTAGCTAAAGAGTGTGACTTCAAGGAGGTAACTGCTGCAGCGCACCAAGAGGAATGTATCAGAACGGCATTCATATCAGGATTGAGCTCACATCAGATCCGCCAACGGCTACTTGAGGATACTAAATCCTTATCTGACACAACTAAGGCAGCTACCACACTTGAGCAAGCCCTCAGGGAGAGTAAGCACTACAATCACCGGGCTTCTGACGAAGGTCACTTAGCGGCAACCGATTCATGCTCTGTTGGTCAAGAGTCTATCTCTCATGTTGCAGCTGTTCAGGGCCGTGCCCAATTCCAATCACAAAAAGGAGGAGACAAACACTGCGGTTACTGCGGCTACAGCCCTCACGACCGAAAAGTTTGTCCTGCAAGAGATGCACCCTGCCACAACTGTGACAGACGGGGCCACTTCAGCAGTGTTTGCCGACAACGCAAGAGAAATCCTGACAAACGCTCTGCAGCCATGCACCGGCCTGCTAACGATGATCACGTACCTGCTGAGATGGACGCCTATACTCCCTTCCTCGCTGCTACCTCGTCGACTCCTTACCCCTCATCCCTCTCCCACTCCGTAGTAAACGTCAAGGTAAATGACCATTTCAATGGCTATCTCCTAATTGACACAGGAAGCTCCGAAAGCTTCATTTCTAAAAGTTTTGCTTCTAAATTAGGCGTTAAACTTTCAAACTGTAATAATTCAATAACATTAGCATCAGAAAATCATGTGAGTAGAACTGTGGGTGCCTGTCATGTTGATATAAACTTAAATGAACATTCCCTCTGTAACGTGCGCCTCATGGTTCTTGAACAGTTGTGTTGCGATATCATACTGGGTTTGGACATTTTGAAGGAACACGAGCGCCTGGTACTTTCATTTAGTGGTCACAAAGCACCCATCGAACTCACCAGTCCCTTTTCTCCGTCAATTTCCTGCTCACTGGCTAAAGCAGATATCGAGCCCCCATCTTTGTTCGCCAATCTCGAGGGTAATCTCCGTCCTATTGCCTGCGGTTCTCGCAAGTTTTCCGATCAAGAGTCATTTTTCATTAAACAAACCATTGATAGCCTACTTGAAAGTGACATAATCAGGCCAAGCAAGAGCCCATGGAGGGCTCAGGTTCTAGTTACTGGCCTCAACAAGCCGAACACAAAACCGAGGATGGTTGTAGACTACTCTCGCACGATAAACAAATTCACACTACTGGACGCATATCCATTACCAAACATGGAGAGGGTTGTATCTAGCATTGCAAAGTACTCAATCTACAGCACCTTTGACCTTAAGTCTGCGTATTATCAAATACCAATAATGGAAAACGAAAAGTCTTATACCGCATTCGAAGCCGCCGGAAGGTTATTTGAGTTCAACGTCATCCCCTTTGGTGTTAAAAATGGGGTAGCAGCCTTCCAGAGAGTCATTGACCAAATCATAGAACAGGAGAAGCTCGAGGGGACTTTCGCCTATCTTGACAATATTACGGTGGCGGGTGAGTCACAAGAAGAACATGACGAGAATGTGAAGAAGTTTCTAGACATTGTAGAGAAATATAGTCTAACCCTCAACAAGGAGAAAACAGCGGGGCCTACTACCTTTATTAATATCCTAGGCTACTTGGTCTCAAAAGGTCAGATGAGACCTGATCCAGACCGCATGGAGCCCTTACTTAAACTGCCATTGCCTAAGGACCCTGCTTCCTTGCAGAGAGCTCTCGGTTTGTTTTCATACTACTCACGGTGGGTAGAAAAGTACTCAGATATGGTCCAGCCACTCATTAAGGAACCCTCATTTCCACTGTCAGAGACTTGTAATACTGCTTTCGAGAGTATTAAATCAAAAATCGCAAGTTCATGTATCGTGTGTCCCAATGATCGTGATAATCTCGTCCTTGAATCAGATGCTTCTGAGTTTGCCCTTTCCGCTAGTCTTAACCAAGGTGGTAAGCCTGTTGCATTTTTCTCTAGGACCCTAAAAGCACATGAACGCAGACACCACGCTGTGGAGAAGGAGGCCTGCGCTATTGTTGAAGCATGTCGAAAATGGCAACATTATTTAGCAGGACGAAAATTCACTCTCATCACCGACCAACAGGCTATCTCTTTCATGTTTAGTCATCAGACCCACGGGAAGATCAAAAATAATAAGATACAGCGCTGGAGGATCGAGCTCTCCACCTTGGACTTTGATATCAAGTATCGGCCCGGGCCCGAAAACGTCACAGCCGACTGCCTTTCGCGAGCCTACTGTTCAGCCCTCGCCTATGGTTACCCTGACCTGGTTGATATTCATGAAAATCTCTGTCATCCAGGTGTGGCCAGGTTATATCACTTTGTTAGGGTCAGAAACATGCCTTTCTCCATCGATCAAGTCAAGAAAGTAACAGCTGATTGTGGGGACTGTGCTAGGATTAAGCCCAAGTTCATCAGACCTCTAAACCCTCCGCTAATAGAAGCTACAAAACCACTGGACCGAATTAGTATTGATTTCAAGGGACCCCTCCCATCGAGCACAAAGAATAAGTATATGCTGGTCATCATAGATGAGTATAGCCGGTTCCCCTTTGTCTACGCCTGCCCTAACATGGAATCTTCTACCATAATCAGATGTTTATCTAACTTGTTCTCTATGTTTGGCACGGTAGGATATGTACACTCAGACAACGGCCCCTCCTTGATAAGCAGTGAGCTCCGTAAATTCTTCCTAGATCACGGGGTAGGGTTTAGTAATAGTTCGAAGTACAACCCCCGTGGTAATAGCCAGGTTGAACGTTACAATGGCGTCATATGGAAGGCTATTCAGCTAGCACTATCAAGCAAAAAGTTCCCTCTGACCCATTGGGAGATAGTCCTACCCGAGGTACTTCATGCTCAAAGGACTCTGCTCTGTACGGCCACTAACCAGACTCCCCATGAACGCCTTTTCTCCTTCCAAAGGAGATCCGCTTCCGGAAAACCAGTCCCTTCTTGGCTATTGACTCAAAAAAAAGTGCTGGCCAAGAGGCACGTTCGAAGGTCTAAGTATGATCCATTATGTGACGAGGTCGATCTTGTCTCAGTCAACCCCGCAAATGCTAGAGTCAGGTACCCAGGGGGCCGCGAGGACACTGTTTCGTTGAGGGACTTGGCACCTCTACCTGTCAGCGAATCTAATGCCGAAAACTCCACAGGATCTGCTGTAAAGGAAATACCCCCAGTTGCAGTGACCCCCTCTGTTACGGTCGCTCCATCTACTCCCGCTCCCTCTAACCCTCCAACCTCCTCCTGTATCCCTGAACCGTGTCATCTCTCCGAACTGCCTGAGCCCAACCCCCGCCGTTCAACTAGGGAATCTCGTCCTCCTGACCGCTTCCAGGCTGGTTAGACACTTGATCGTGCTTGATCACCGCGTGAATTTCGAGACTTTTCACTATTGATGAGACATTTTATATTTGGCAGTTTTAAAGCCTAAATTATAATTTATGCGTGTGTACGTAATGGCGCCGTCACTCTGTGGCAGCAACCTGATTACTAGTTTACGTAACGCGCGGGGACTTTCGCATATCTGGAAGCCGTCTCCATAAACATTTCTAATCTAATTATCTTATGATATAGCGCAGCCGCGCGGAGACGATATTACGTTTATATTCGCCGTTTTATATCTCAGTTTTATGAACCGTTTTTTACCGTTTTATAATTTAAATTTTACCCCTGTTTTATAGTTTTGTGAGAGATTAAAGTAATTTTGACTTCAATATTGACTTCTATTATTTAGCTGGGGAGAATGTCGTGAGATTTATTATTACTAATATGTACTATTTACAGGATGTTTAATATTTAATGTAACTCTGTTAACAACTGTCTCATTTGGTAACTCTCGACACACAACAAGTATTATTTGTTATTTAATTAACCCAAGAACAGGGTTCCAACAGGCTTGACATTGCAGCTATAGGTCTGTGGTCACCAATGGAGATGGCATTTTTTGATATCAGGGTTTTACACCCCGGAGCCAAAAGCAACGCTAATCACAACACCCCAGCAAAGATGTACAGTATAGTATATAGTAAGCATGAGAGAGAGAAAGAAAGGAAATATGGAGACCGCTGTGTACCAATTCAAACTCAAAACTCGCACAAGATTAGATCTCATTAAAAAGATTAAAATGTATATAATGGAGCTTGTCGAACAAAACATAGCTGAGCACATATAAAGTTGCCTTTAGTTGAAATTATCATATTAATGCGCTATAAGAGTTGTTAGAGTGGAAACAGGTGCATAGCTACGGCTAGCTAGCTATTCCAAAATTTTAAAATTTAACGACTGTTATCAGTCGCATAGCGTCATGCCGTTTTTGCTGGCGAATTGATGGCAGTGTAACTGAGATGGTATGCAGTGAAATTGATTCTGTGATGGCGTGCTTATGGTATTGAGACAGAGTTATTATTAGCATTACGGTTGATGTTGCGCTCTGATTTCCTTAGTCCCGTTATATTGTGTAACATAAAGTTAGGCCATTCGTCTGTGATGCCCTCGTTTTGTTGATCAATGAGCATGTTTTTTATGCACCTTTTGTAGATGTTAAGGTTGAAGAGACTTGGTAAGGAAGTTGCTGCGACACTATATCTGTTTATTGCTAATAGTGGACCTTTGTAGAATACTGAATTATTGTAAGGGTGTTTACCGTATTCATCTGACCATAAAGTTGTAAAACTCGAATACGGATCGGCGACGTTAAATATTGGTGCACTGTTAGGTATTGTTTTCTTTATAGAGGGAGGCACTAGACTTGGGAAGTTTTTCAGCTTATGTATAAACACTAATGCGTTCTTCACAATGATACTATGAACTGTCAATATTTTGTGTACATAGAAACCAGACTTGGTACTTGCTGGTGGTGTACCATCTTTGTACCAGTAATTAACAAAACCTGGTAGTATTGCTCTAAGACCCATTTTTTGTTTTACAAATAGTGTTTCTATATGGGATTTGGCAGCAAAACCCCAGACGAGGGAGCAGTAATTAAGGTGAGACTGAACAAAGCTGTGATATATTTGTAAACGTGCTTCCAGAGGCAAATATTTTTTAAGTTTGTACATGACTCCAATGTATCTGGCCATTTTCATTTTCATGGCAGAAATATGTTGCGACCAGTTCAGTTTGTTATCTATTATAACTCCTAAGAAACGGGCTTCTGTTTTTCTTTCGATTGTGACACCAGAAATTACTACATCGCGATAAATGAGGTTTCTTTGCCGAGAAAAGATCATATAATTCGTTTTTTTAAGATTTAAAGCTAAACCGTTGTTATCTACCCATTTAACTAAGACATCGCTAAGAATTTTGAGCTTATCATAAACCTCGTTTATATTTTCTCCTGTTAGGAAAATGTTTGCATCATCTGCGTACATGATGAAATTAGCTATTTCTGATATTTGAGGAAGATCGTTTATGTAGATAATAAAAAGGAGAGGTCCCAAAATTGAACCTTGGGGTACACCGTAAATAATGGGGTTGGCTGAGGATTCAGAGGATCCAATAGATACAAACTGGTTTCTGTTCCTAAGATATGATTTAAACCAGTTTAGAGCGAGACCTCTTATGCCATAGTGCTCGAGCTTATTCAGGAGTATGGAGTGATCCACAAGGTCAAAGGCTTTGCTAAAGTCAATCAAAAGGAGCAAAGTAACTTGCTTTTTGGACATTGAATTGAGAATTCTGTCTTTAGCATTAAGAAGTGCATGTTACAGATCGAAAAAGTAACCTGCAATGGCCTTGTATTCTCGACCACCGGAGGTATGGGCCCACAGGCTACCATGTTCCTTAAACAAGTGGCAACACTTCTGGCAGCCAAGACCAGCCAGGACAAAAGCCTCATCATCGCAGACGTCGTTTGCGATTTGAGCTACTTAAAACAGTTTTGATTGCAGTGAGAGGACACAGAGGACGGTATTATGAGAAAGCAATACCTGATGACGAACTGGACCTAAATCTTGCACACACCACCAGCGATGAAGACAGGGGTGATGATGTTGATGATGAAGATGAGGAAGTTGATGATGAGGTTGAGAATGTAGAGGAAGAGGTTTCAGAAGAGTGGGCTGAAAAGAAGACAAGATTCTATTCTAATTTATTGATTATTATATTTATTGAAATAAACATATAATATCCATTACTCCAGGAGTGATGACAGGGAAACAAGCGTTATGCTGGGCTTGTATAATAAGTCACTGGTAAAGCCTCATATAGAGTATTGTTCGAAAGGCATGGAAACTGGTCACTGATCCTTGAATTGGAAGGTGTTCAAAGATCATTCACCCGTATGATCGATGGATTGGGCCTCATGACCTACAGAGAGAGACTGGATTACTAGAAGCTCAAAACCTTGCTTGAATGTAGGGTCCGTTTGGATCTCATTGAGATGTTCAAGATCCAGGAAGGCTTTGTGGATTATGGGTCTGATATATTTGGTCGTGCTGGTAGGACTGTCTCTGCTAGGTCAAAGCCACACAGATTAACCACAAATGAGAGTGACTTCTTTGCCCAAAGGGTCTTGCGCTACTGGAACAGTCTACCACCACTTGTGAAAGCTAGTGAGTCGGTTACTGGATTCAAAAGGGGATTAGATGCCTTTCCCCTTCATGGATATCAGGCAAATAAGCTTGGCCACTACTGGGAACTGTCATATGACATCTTTGATAGGACAGATGTGTCTGTGTCTAATAGGAATTTTTATAGAAATTTTAATATTTATGGAATTATGTCTTCTTCATTTGATAGGCTGATGAGTTTCATACTGAGATTTCTTGTAATCATAATCCATTTTTCATGTCCTCTGTCAGTCAGCCTTCGGCGGCGCGCGAAAAATGGCATGCAAGGTATGTCAATCAAGATTTAATTTACAGTTATTAACTTCTGTTTTCTTAACAGTTTCTAACTAGAATGATGCTCTTTCAAATCATCTTGTATTATACCTAGTAAGTTTATGCGTGGTCTACCCCGTCTACCGTTATATGGTTTGCCTGATGTTAGGGCAATTCTTAGAGCTAAGACTGTTATCATCGATAAGAAGAATGTGGCCAAGTAATTACCACCTAGAATTTACAAGCAAATGTGTATGGTGTGTTTGAAAATGCCCCCAGGGCCTTAAAGATTAATGTCAAAGGCCCTCTGTAATTACACATAAAATGTCTTGACCCCTTGCCGCTTGTGGAATATTGGCACTACGTGTATTTTAAATAGGCTGGGGCCTTTGCTAACACTACAATATATTTTGTCTTTTGATGCATACGTTTGGTGTCCGTACTGGTACCCATTGGTATTATTTTTTACCCTGACTTATTTTAACATACTGCTGCATGAATTAATTAAATGTGTCCTGGCATGTTTGTTTTATCACTTGCACTGTATAACAGTCTCTGCTTGTTTTCTTTTAGCTCACAGATCTAGTTATATGAGCTCATTCTTGTGATATGACACTGTGTTGGAGGGAAATGCTTGAAAGCATACTAGTAGTTAAAACTGTAGTACTATAACGGTAGAACTTCCTATAACAGTTATAGCTTAACTAAGGTAGTACCGTAGCAAATTGTATCCTCTAAAATAATCCAATTTGTTCAATTTTGTCCAATTTTACGTTTCTACAGGGAACCTTATGCCACTGGTTACGTCAAGTAAAACATTTGACCCTAACCAAACTTATGGGCATGTCGATCTTATCTCATTGTACACAGCGATGCCAAGTTGAAGTATACAAATCTGATAGAACAAATAACGGTTGATGGTGCAAAAACCTCATCAGTTGATTAATCAGTCAAATTTCAATGTTGAGGTATGCCTCAATTCCATAGAATAATTCAAGATTTAAAAAAATCAAACTGTGTACGATCTTGTGAACAGCCCAAAGATCAAGAATGTACAAGAAAACTTCCGTCATGCTCTAAGATCCAATAGTTCACCACACATGCAACAAATCGATCAATCCTTATATGGACAGTACACATATCATGGTTTCATGCTGTTATAGCACTGTGTTTCATGTTTAATATATTGAGCTTTACTGCTGTATGCCAGAGAACTGAGCTAAGTTCAGCAGGAACTGAAAAATTACAGTTATTGGAAATAAAGCGTCCACCCACCAGAGTAATTATTTATATAATATGTGGACACATTTTATGTAAAACGAAATGAAGTTCTAGTTAATGTAAATACCATACGATAAATGTCAGAAACTTTAGTACTTATACTTTTATAGCTATGAAAATAGCATTGAAAAGGAACACCTGAGGGAAAGGGAGGCTTCCAGGCCCTTGTTGCTACGCTTGAAGAATGTTGATTAAAGAATATCGCATACCATTGCCCATGTCTGTGGAGGAGTACAAAATTGCTCAACTGTACATGATCCAGGTTTGTTAATAAAGTTTATAGACTAGGTCTGTAAAAGCTCCTTGTTGTAAAATATGGTTTTCTTATTTCATAAATTAGACTCGTTAAAAAAAAACTTACAGCACTTGAGTAGTTAATACAATAATATCATTGTAACGTCAGGTTAAAATAGTTTACCATCCTGGCCATTTACCTAAATAGATAATAGATATTTATATCATTACTGAAATAACAATTTTCCATTTCTTTAGAGGAAAAGTAAAGAAGAGTCTCAAGGTCGGAACAGTGGGATAGAAATAGTAGAGAACAAACCATACACTGACGGACCAGGAGGCGAGGGGCAGTACACTAAAAAGATATACCACATAGCGGGACATGTTCCTCAGTACATTAAAAGTAAGTTAGCTGGGCATGTTCAGGCATGTTCATTGTACATCATCAGTTCAGTAAGTAAGACACTCTCATTTGTATTATTTCTGCTCGTACCTCTCCATCGAGAAGAAGAAAACGGTTATTTTTGATCTTTTACTGTTTAAAAATTTGACTGTGTGTAACGAGGTTTTATTTCAGACGTTATACCCAAGTCAGCGCGGTCACTGCACGAAGAGGCGTGGAATGCCTACCCCTATGCAAGGACCAAGTTCTCCTGCGAGTTTGTACCTAGATTTGTCCTGGATATCGAGAGCAGATATGTAGCTGACTGTGGGACACAGGTTACTGTTCATTCTTGCTTTTAGTTATTTGTATCTGTACGTTCATTATAATTGTAGTGGAGAGAACAATAATGTGGAGATCGATTCGTCCCACTTTAATCTGCTTAGTGTACAAGTTTAGCTTTCGCCTCTCTGTTATTAGGCGGTTATAAAGTATAAGTTAACAGTAACTCTATAGTCTTTTGTCAGTCAACTTAGATGATAGATTACACCACGTTATGCCATTGTACATATTATAGAATAAAATGAATTAGGAAAGAGTGTTTAAAAGCAAATCCTAATGATTCACAAAGCTGTGATTCTATCACTATGTCCACTACCATCCACAATATACCTATCAACCATCAGCATCCCCCCAATGCTCCTTTATATTTTTACTGCGTGCAATTATTGAATACACAGAGTGGGCACGTTCATAGCCCAGTTCGGCTCTGTAATAGACTTTAAATACAGCAGCTGTTACGTTAATTAACTGAAGATGCTATTTCCATCCAGAGAGGTTAAATTTCAGAGCGATGTTGCTATTTGGGCTGGAATTCCATTGTACGATTTCGCAAGATTCTCAGGCTGTAGAAAATTGCTATGAAACAACAATAATTTATCTTATATAATATTGTGGAGTTTTACACTTAACCAGATGACAGTAAGTGTGTGTTCCAACGTGTTGAGAACATTAAAGTATGGCAAAGTTTCGAGCTGTCAGCCTTTACAAAACTGATAGTTGGTCAAGAGCCGGTTATATTTGTATTTGCAGTAATCTCCGCGCACTCCCTGACTCTCTCAACGGTCTCTGACGTCACAGACCCTGCAATTTGTGCCCACGTGATTTAACTTGTGCACGTGACACAGTAACGAGACCAGCACGTGGCCTGCAGACAATACTGAATCATGTTTCATTGCCATATGCGTCAGCAGGGTTTTATGACATATCAGCTAAGGCTCATAAAAGCAATTGCAATTTAGGCGATTTGGGATGTAACTATCGGTGGAGTTTTGTGCACACGCGGTTGTCAGATGAGCTAGATTAATAGCATACAGGCTGTTCTGAAGTAAATATAAGCTGCATGACGTTGCAGTCTATATTGTTGCGCTCTGTGCACAAGAGTTAATTATAATTAGCGCCAGGTCACTGCGGGCAACATAAACTACCATCTGTTCAGGCAGCTACATTACTGGCATTCCGCACCAGAATTACTGGCATTCCGGACAACGATTTCCTGGGATTTGTGGAGGTTTCTAAATATTTTACCAGGCATCTCGACACCTTTTTATCTCGACACCTTCAAATAATAGGACCGTATAAGAGAGCGGATACGACAAGAGATATTCACCGTTAGTAAGTTATGTACAGTATTTTCACCTCTAACCACCATATCCTAACTGTAAAGAGTCTTGATCAGTGCTACTAATACTGTAACACATGGCCGCATGTTTATTGTTAATGTTAAGATATAATATTTAGAACAAGTAACCAGTTGTGTCATGTAATAATAATATGTTCTCACCTGGTATAACTGTTTAAATAGTTCATCTGAAAGCCAGAAAGAAGGAGAAGTGAGCCAGAAAGAAGGAGAAGTGAGACAGAGAGAAGGAGAAAGGTGTTATTCAATATACTAGGAAGGCAGTAACAAGAATAGACTGTATTATATGACTTGCTCACCTCTAAGGTATGGTAATCCTACAAAAGAAGGGTGCGGGGGAGTGTGTTCTCAATTGATCAGCACAGTACCAACATCAGTGGAACACTCTAGACTCTAGAGGTACCCTCCGTGTAGAAAACTGTGTTACGTAAAACATATAACCGTAAATTATCCTGGTAATTACATAATATATAATAACCTGACACCTCATTAAAGCATTCGTCGTATGTATATTGTATAGTTCTCTATTGAACTATCCTAGGAACACATGCAAACATACTTTATCATGACTTCATGACGTTGAAGGTGTACATGACATATTATGGTATAATCGCACTGTGTACTGTGTAGAAGCTGAAAACGCCCTCAATTGTGCTATGTCCAGCATGTTCTATGCGCGTGAATATAAATAGTTTCTTCCAAACCTTGCTTTAGCTAAGAAAGTGGAGCAAATTTTTCTTTTCTCACCGGGCAGCTCTTCGGTGAGAAAATGTATTATGTATAATTCTCTCGTTTCCTGGCACATGTATCTAATTAATTGTTTTAAAATTAATTGTTTTAAAACAAGGTCACTGCCAGGTAATTGCTCGTTAAGAGTTCATCTCATGACAACGTAAATCTCATGTAAATTAAGTGTTTACAGCTGCTTAATATAATGTGACATGTGTTAATGTGACGTGTTTTATTGTTCATGCGAGAAAAATGTACTGTGTCTTATATTATATATATAATAACAATGCTTTTAATTAGCTTTCAATAATGTAAGACGGACTCACGACTGTCGTGAATTATCGAATGTGAACCAAATCCCATCATATTAGATTTGAAGTTTATAATTGGACCGGGTAATTGTTTCAGGGAGTGTGGTTATCATTGTCTCTTTATTATCAATTAAATAAGTCTCATTATAATTATATATACAGTATACACGTTAGTGTACTGTTGGGTGGAACGTCTCAACATTCAGTTTTATAGACTTAGAAAAGTAATTATTATTATTATTAGTCAACCTGTTGTTCTCCAGCTACAGTAAGGTTCCTTATCTAATTATCTAATTATCTAATTATATAATATATATATAATGGAGTAGTCATCAACGTTTCCCTTCTCAAAAAACTGCTAATTCGTTCACGCTAATTAACAAATTATAGACGTAGATAACGATGGTGAGTTAGTCTAACTCTACATTATCATATTTACGCTCAATAATCAAGCTTGGGATGGCATAAAGAGCGGTGCAAAATTGGTACTGTCCACATTTATTATATAAGAAGCAACAGATATTAATATACTCTAAAATTAGAATTTTAAGAAACCGCCATCGCACGTGTTAAACTTATACCTATAGTTATTGCTTTAAACTTGCAGTTTCTTAGATCTATTCATCTGTAGTTTCTCGAGACTTTAGAGTGCGTGCATGTCATATCTAATCTGTTTCTCAAATTAAAAAACATCCGTTGTTAATGCTTATTAATAAAGCATTGTATATGTTAAAACTGAAAATTGATACACGGTAAAATTGAACATTATATTAACATACAATTCCTAGATATGTTTTATTTCTCGATGGCGAAGATTTCATCTTAAAGACAAATTTAGCCATACAAAAATATGGTTACAAAACCCATTATGTACTGTTATTATATAAAATTGGTTGCCAAGATCTACTGAAACTAAATACCATTTATCTCTTCATAAAACTGTAATGAAATTACATAACGTTTCAACATCACTGCCTCAACGATGCAAAGCTTCCATGTTCATCGCTTCAAAGTTTCAGAGGACTTAGATAGTTATAAATATGTCCATTATTCTGATCTTTCGATATTCGACAAGCAAGAAGAAATTATTTGATAATGCTAGCAAGTATGTTATCACAGTCCCTCGCCCGAATTGCATAGTGGGTTCATATTATGTACATAATGATGAAAGCCCTATATTGATCAGCTATTGTCCTCACTTTGATTTCTTTTTCTTGGCCGGAGCCTTTGCAGCTTTTCCACCCTTGGCTCCTTTGGCTCCCTTAGCAGGAGCAGCTCCCTTGCTTCCCTTTCCTTTCGCTTTGCTCTTCTTCTCAGTCAGACCCCTTGGGAAAGAAGACTCCTCCGGCTCTGGTTCAGGTTCTGGTTCTGGTTCTGGCTCGGGTTCTGGAGTTGGTTCCTTCAAGATGGGATTTCCTTCCTCATCTAGAGGAATAGGGTGTCCAAACTCGTCCAGGAGGACCGCAGGGGGCTCGGGTGTTGGTTCCACCAACTCAGTTTCACCTCCAAACGAGACTTGCTTTTTAAGGGACCTGGCATACATACTCTCGATATCATCCACCGTGTAGAGGGTATCCTTGTGAACCTTCTTCTTGAGGTACAGACATATCCCCACTCCAGTAGACACCAGACACACGACCACTATGAACGCCAGGATCGTTCCTATCGTGGCGGTGGAGCTCTTTGAACAGCACGATTGTCCCCCGTTCTCAACACAGCAGTGCTGGAAGCTGGAGCACTTAACATCACCACACACCTCGTTACCGCATACCAGTATAGGCATGACGAGGATCAATACACCCCACATTATAGATCAGCTGGATATCATGCAACTTTGAGCAGAGATAACAAACAAATACAGTAACAACAACACAAAACCGTGTAGCTATAATAAGCGGACTAAGTTTGAAAGTTTTGCAAAATGACAAGTATTATTGGAGATCTGGTGTGTATCGGAGAGGCGGAGTGCTGCAGCATGCACAAAGATAGCTAACAAGTATGATTAAACGAACTGCTAGCGCTGCCAGTAGATAATTCGAACGGTGTTTTAAATTGCTGCTTGATTGTCTCCCGTAAGCCCCGAATTTACGTGCAGCCAGTTGGGAAGATTAAAAGCAAGTCGATAATAGTTATTGATGCATATTATCATGGCACATTTTAGTGGTCCAGCACGTATTCTTGCTGTGTTTTTAATTGTGCACACAGTTCTAACTGCACAGTATAGCTCTAGTTTTAAAGATCAGCGTTACTGGCTTTCATAGGAGATCTATTCTGGTTTGATAAAGGCATTTTCACAAGGCGTCCGGTTTTGGCGTGTACTGTATCTAGATTAATGGGAAGCCATTGGAGATCACACTTTAATTACATTGTAGTATTTAAGTGTTAATAACTGCAGAGTCAAAGTATCAGTGTTAAACTTTTAGCAGCTGTTGCAGGCATAACTTATACTCATGTAGAATCTCCGGGGGTTTTAAAATATCTGGATACTAGTGGGGAGGTGAACTGTGTTTGTTTTCACGCGTGATATTAATGCTGGGGTTTGATTGGTCAATATTGCAAGCTGATTGGTCAATATTGCAAGCTGATTGGTTAACAATATTTTAAATCTCCTGACCAGTTTACAGATTTGATACATCAACACAGATGTTTATATATGAAATCCTGCTCATCACCTCTTCGGAAACCAATACAGCAAGGAAATTGCATATTGCATCGAAGTTCGAACTGTGAAGTACCCCAGAAGTATCCCAGAAGTGAAATATAACTGTTCTATTTTGGCAATGTGCCCATTTCTAGTATCGTGACTCCGCTTTACAAACCTCACTTTTTGTTCTCTACCAATGCTGTACACGTTATGAAAGTTGACACTACAAGTGCAAGCCTAATGTACTGCACTCTAGGATATAATATGATAAACCATTGCGTGAAGCTAATGTATAAATAGTATTTATTATTATTAAATACACAGTGTACAATAATGTATGCGGGATTTAATTACAGTGAAGTAGTGAAGAGTGTCTCGTTCCCCAGCAAGGATAACTTGAAATACACTGTAAAATTGTAGCTCTATTGTTTGGAAGGTGTGTTGCCTTTCGCTAGATGTGTTGCCTTCCCGCCTCTCGCTAGGCGTCACACATCCGTACGTGAGCTTAATGTGTTAAATCTTAACTTACAAACTACATTGGTTGAAGACTGAAGAGCTAGTTCCTTTGTTATGTAGATTTGTCATACTTCGAGGTTCTCTTTCAACAGAATAATTTCGAAGCCGGTATCAACCTTTCTTGGGTTAATCCTCACAAAGGCCTAGACATTCGAGTGAAAGATATTATAATTTACTGCGCATTTTTAATGGCCGTCAGTATCTGGCAGGTGATACTGAATTTATATTTTGTTGAAAGAGGAGCTACGTACTTAGGGTCTGGTTATTGTGCACCGCCACCCTGCAGCAATCCTCGCGAATAAACCGTTATTAAAACAAGTAGCTCTTATCAGTGTGTTTAAACACATGTTTAATGTTATGTGCGGGAATATGTGTGGGAATTGTATTGTCTTGATCAGGTGATTTGGCAATTATAGTAAATAAGTTAAATGTTTTAAGGAGCTCTTTGATCATGTCCCCTTTTAGAATGTCACCAGTTTATGTAACAATATCAAGGTTAATACCACGATATAATACATGTCATTAACAACATTTATAATGTGTTTAAATTGTTGTTAGGATGATCCCAATAAACTAAATCTATGCAACTCTGTTAGTAATAAAATATATTGCTATTTTGTGCTTGTCGATTGAAAGCCAACTACTTACCAATTCTAAAACAATGGATATTACACCACAGCTGCGTGAAAAGCTGGCCTCTAAATTGTGAGCGTTTTGTCTGGTTATAATTTATACTGCAATTTAGATCTTCTAACGACCAACTATTCGCGGCCAGCTATTTGCGGTTGTTCTATAGTTGAGGTCACATTTAACCAACTCTTCCTATAGAGATAATAATAATAAATATGAGTAGGTTATGATAATAAACCTGAGTAGGTTCTAGGAGTTATCAAATATCATTACATTTTATCCTGTCCAGACATAAGAATGGATTTTGATCAGCAGCTGAAAATTCAAAAACCTAGGTATTATAACTATCCTAATAATATCATGTACATGTAGTATAACATTATCTTTTCTGATTACGCCAGTCACGTACGACGACAGTCATAAAACGACCGTTAATTGTCCTGGTAGTATTTAAAGTGCAGTGTGGTGAACGGTTTGATTTTAATTGTTTGGTATTCAAACGATCTTCCTGCTCATAGCTGCATACCATCGGATCAAGTCATTAGATGTGAAGACAATAGCAAAACAACAATTTCCTGGCGCCTGCACACCGCGTCACATCCTGGCTCTATTGCAGCTGAATTGGTGCGATAAACATCCAGTAATTTGGTACCAGCACGTTTTTATGCACTCTAATTAACTCCTAATGATGCTATAATATGCAAAGCTGATGTGTGTTGTCTGGCATAATAATGTCAACAGTTGCTGGAGCATGTATCCTGTCCTGGTTAACCACATGGTGGAATGCCTGGAATCTTCCAACAGCATTACCAGATCATTCTACGCCACAATTTCATTCAACAATTTGATCTATCAAAATAACTGCATATTGATATTCAAAAAATGTGTTCTTGTTACCGAGTCACGTTTCCATGTGACTACTTGTGAGCCACAAAGCGTCTGAAGCGAGCTCTCGTTTGAGTTCCAGGAGAGCTCAATAAATAGATTGACCAACAATTTACTGATAAATAGCTGATGAAGTGGTCTGTTAGCAGATTAGAGAAAGAAGGAGTGGCCAAGTTAACGAGTTCAGTGCACTAACATCAGCTTCTTACTTTTTTCTTCTACGTTACTTGTGTCACCACGTGACAGGTACTAATTGGACTGTGAGTAGGCTTCTGAGTCTGTGATATTATGTTGGCCAGTGAGAGTGAGTGAGACGATAAAATCGGATGTGTATGCTTAGTACTTAATTAATATTCAATGCAACGATTTATATACTCTAATTCGACACGTACTCTAGTTCGAGCTAGAAATCACCTCTGTCGAACTAAAGTCCAGGTAGAGTAGTTGGACTAATATTTTTCCTCCATTTTCTGCTTGTGATCCAACTGCACACGTCATGAACAGTGGTATTAATGAGGACAGAGTTTCGTGTTCTTTCGTGATCCTATGGCATGCACTGTTGCTACTCATATACAGTAGTTGCAGTCTGTTGCTGTACGCTATCGGATCACATTGATTGGGATAAAAAGCTCGTATGCTGAGATGGTACTTTTTTTTTTTTTTTTTTTTAAAGAGAGGCTGGGCCTGGTTGGCCCACGAGAGGATAGCATATGGATGCTTTGCCTACCTCTGGGGTATGGCAGTCCTGTGGGAGGATGCCAGTGGAATCAAGATGTGTAATCACGGATGATGGTAAGTGTTGTGGGGTGTGTTATAGATAAACGCTTAAGTGGTGGTTGAGTGTGGAAGAGAGGGGCGAAACAAGACGGCGTTAAAGTAGTCGCTATGTTACACCTGTCTGGTCCAACTCCTCCGGCACCACTAAGCGTTTAGTGTGGTTTGTAAAATTGACAATGGTGGAGATGTGTTGGTTGTCGAATATTTCATTGACAGAGAGGTAGTAGTCCCGGAAATATTGACCTCTTATTTGGGCAATAGCCGGGCACTGTCCGAGAAAGTGTGAGACAGTCTCCTCTCCGTCGCCGCATTTAGGACAAGCACTTGTGTCTGATTTGTGAATGGTGTGTAGGTGTTTGTTGAGGCCACAATGTCCCGTGATGAGGTGCACTGCAGTTCTGTAATTTTGTCTGTTGTTACTGAGTGTAGTGTTGAGATTTTTGATGATGTTGATGTTTTTATGTCCAAGTGTCAGTTTTGTGTGTCTGGGACCATTAGTAATCCATGATTCTTGATTAAGTTTTGTGACTTTGTCGTTGATCAGGCGTTTGATGTAAGATTGTGGAATTGGGCAATTCAAAGTGGATTCACTGGTTGTGCCATTTTTGGCCAGCTCGTCTGCTTTTTCATTACCCTACAATCCGATGTGTGCTGCTATCCATCTGATCTCTAAGGTGTTAGTGGATCCGAGTGTATTGAGGGTGTCGTAGCAGTCTCTAGTAGTTCTACTCCTCGTTGAAGGTGAGGATATAGCTTGAATAGAGGAGAGACTGTCTGACCATATGATGATATGTGTGTTTGTGAGATGGTACTACTGAGATGGTATATGTTGCCATGGGGTGGCAAGTCCCCATACATCTTGGTCAGGTAGTTTCATTACGTCCTAATATATAAGCCCATGAATTACGTGGCGAACTAGGGTACATTTTTCTCTAATAATACCTTCGCAACAATAGGTCGTGTTGCTGTTGGTGCTTTCACATCTGAGCCCTATTGTAGTTTTGTCCCCATTAATGAATGGGTCCACGCACAATAAGGACCCTTTGCCGTTAATATTACAATTGGGACTAACGACCATCAGTGGTGGCCGGTGGGGCTTTTATGCCATGTCGAGCGTTTTCCTTTAATACCATCTTGATTCTACGTCAAACAATTGATAATCTTGATTACACAATGCACAAACCTTGGGAGCCACTAACGTCACCTACCCTACATACACAAACAACCAAAACCACACAAGTTTCGCGTGAACTAATCTTCTTTATTTCAGGAGAATATCTTCAATCTGTCACCAGAAGAGTTAGCACAGAGGGAAGTTGGTATGTTTTATTTGAGTACCGATCTTAACATAATGTTATAAATTTTGAACATAATAACGGTCATCACTCAATCTGCGGACCACCTTGATTGCACCAGTCGGTTATCGAGTTCGAGGTTTCTGCACTGTATCCACTATCCAGGATCAGAGTAGGGGCTTGTCTGGAAGGGTGTAATTATATTATGCAATTTTGGTAATAATATGATACTTATGTAAATATATCTGTCAAAATATTAACATAATAGTAATTACTAGGGTTAGTAATGCAATTCTGTTTTATTTCCCAATCGCTCGCATACGGTCACCTGTAAAAGCAATCGTTTACACATTATATATAGAGACTTTGTCTATTTAACTGTATCCTCACGTGTCAGAGCAATCTTGGATTGTTTTGTAATTCCATATCGGCTACCCGAGTATCATTTGTTATATAATGAGAGTTACATCGTAAAAATGGACCATCGTTATTGCAAACACCGCACGAAATTTGAGCCAACCTATTCACGTATGTGGTCAGTGAAATTGAGTGCCGCATCAACGTTTCCGCATCAAAGTTATGACATACAACTTTCAGAACTCGTTCAGTTGCGCTGCCAGTTTAACCATATCTTGGCAATCACACGTAAACAGACATGCCCATCATGTCAAAGGTCTACTCAACATAAAATTGGAACGCGCGCAAGCTGATAATTACAGAAAACTGCGCATCACTTACCGCGCGCATTTAATTTTATATATAATATATTCTATTTAAGTATAATTAAAGCTAATTATTTATTTAATAACATATTATATTTTAGTCATGCAATTCATGCGCTGTGTATAGAAATGACACGTAGATAGCCGGCCTGAAATCGACCTTACGCCTGCCAATTCTCCAGCAAATGCAGGATAAATACGACGGACGAGAGACTGAATTTGGTCGATATAGAGTCTAATTGTCCTACATGATATGGGATAATTTGTTAAGCGGGAACAGTGAGGCCATCTTCACTCTTGCAATCGTTTATGAGATTATGAGATATGAACTGTTTAAAACCGCTTGGTATCGTTATATGGTATTCTGCAGCTCCCGATGTATAATGTATATACTCAGCACACCGAATACCGATGCCATCTCTTGAATCCCTATTCCGTGTAATCTTCCCGGACCGGTTTTCACATGTAATCGTTTAAAGGACAAACGAGTTTTAGACTCTAAGCGAAAGTGAACTCACCCTGAAATTTCGCCTTTATAATCTCAAACATGTAACTTGATATTAACCTACGTCACAGTGTAATTCAGAGTAAGGTTCCTTGACGTCATCTGGCAGCTGCAAACAGAAAGAATCATGAATTATGCAAAATTTATCCTGTTCATGCTTTGGCGTGTAAAATACATTGTGGTGGCAATTTATGTGAGCCTATTGGCAAATATGTTGTTTATATGAGACAATTTCAGTGTTTTTAGACGTTGTCACTGACAGAGTAGATGGAGAACCATTAGAAGAAGAGAATCCTCTTCTCTTCAGATCAGATAAAACTGGGCGTGGCCCTCTGAAAGGTATAACTAAATTACTTTTTAAAACCAATCATACCATTTATAATCAGAGGTTCGCCATTTTTGGAATAATCACAGTACGTAATGTCACGTGCATTTGTACTTTGCAGAATGTATGGCTAAAAAAGCAATTTTCACATAACAAGTGAACGACTTTTTTCAGCTACATGGATTAAGGACGAGGAGTGGGAGCATGTTTTCTGTGCTTACAAACTCTGTAGGGTAGATTTTCCTTTTTGGGGCTTTCAGACCAGAGTAGAGAGGTTTGTTTTATTTTTTAATTAGTATTTTATTAACTACAAGAGTACAAGCATTGCATGATGTAGTATGCTCAGCTATTTTCTATTTTAAGCTTACTCTTTTATTTGACTTCGGTATTTCGAACATCCACATGGTTATTAAGTAACTGGTCTAATATAGTAAGCCTAAGGCCAGTACAGCGAGGTAATTTTTACCATACTTAATACTTATTCTCATTTAACCCTCAATTACGGTTTTTTGGTGGAGCACGGGGGTTCCATAGATCTAACTTATCAACTATTGATGGTTCTTTGCGAAAATACATAGTAAATACAATATTTCACCGTTGCAACGTCATCACCATTCACCAAGAACTGATATTGTTTGTTAGATATAGTATATAATGAGTACGGTATAGTTATTGACTAGCGTAGTAGTCATGAAAGCATCATTACACTCAGCCTAGGATGCCCTGCACTAGTATCTTAGACTGATACACCGCGATTGTCCAGCCAATCTTTTGATTGCAATTTTGACCGTAGTAGCAAGCGTGAGCTCAATTCATTACTTGGAGAAATTGTCTTCACTTGTTTCACCTCTTTCAGCAACTTTTATACGAATAAAATAATGCAAATAAAATCAAATTTGCGATTTTATTAAAGCGAATGAAATTATATTTGCATAACCGCTTTACGGCCGGCTCCTTTTTGACTACCTCTTTAGGCTTTTATGCTCATTTAACCCATATATTTGTAAAAGCCTAGTGACGCAGCGAGATTGTACAACATGTAAAATAGTTCGTTGAATCGAGAATAATTAAATTATTTGGTATCACGAACCTACACACACATTAGGAATATAGCAAGATCCCACGATTTAATGTTCCACGATACCAATTATTATTAACTCGTAAACGTTTGTTCCTTGCTGAACATTAGTCACGTGGTTAACCTACGAATTGTGTCGTATTTGGCACAGCTTATATGCGACTCCCAGTGCTTTGTTGACTTGTGTCCGATTGAAAGGTTGCCAACTGTTAATTCTGATGCGGGTCGGGATAGTTTATTATTATCGCACAAATACAAAAATTGTTAAGTAATTTTATTACAGAATTGTGTACTATCGTATAACTAATTTCTAAAGGTAGCTTTTAATTGTACCTTAATCCATCCCTCTGATCGATCCACCTCAGAGGCTAATTTTTACTCAACACAACCGCCATTCTTTAGTATTATAACTGGAATATCCTTACTACCTACAATAAAGATTTTAAAGCAGTAATTAAAGTTAGAGTCCGTAGACTGCCACGAAATATTATGTCGTTTATAACAATATATTTCCCGTTAAAAGGAGTCTATGGATAACCTAGTATGATAGGAATTAGGATCATAGCGCTTACATTTTCTTTGTGCAGTGTTCGTTAATCGTAGCTGCATTTGAATACTTCTGGGCGTAACTGCAATCGTCTAACGTTGATTTGCTTCTGATAATAAGATCCAATTATTCTATTGGAATGAGAGGTTCCACTAACCGATTACTGGTTACTGGTTACTGGTTACTGGTTACTGGTTACTGGTTACTGGTTACTGGTTACTGGTTACTGGTTACTGGTTACTGGTTACTGGTTTCTGGTTACTGGTTACTGGTTATTGGTTTCTGGTTACTGGTTACTGGTTACTACTTACTGGTTACTGGTTACTGGTTACTAATCCATGGTTTTAGTTCACATTTCCAACCTTCAATAATTGTCAATAAGACTTGTCTTTTGCACCACAATTATCGACATGCTATGACCTGTGGAATTTGTTGTGTCCCACTATTTATGCATCAAAAGAACACAGTAGAGTCAGTAGAGCCAGTATAATAGCCAGTAGAAAATAGCAGAGCCAGTAGACCTAACACCATCCTTACTATTTGACCCCAGGTACGCCAATGACTACGGTATCAGGAAGATATTGGTGAAGGCACACAGGCAGGCTTGGGTCTGGCAAGACAGTTACCATGGACTGACGATAGAGGACATCAGGCAACTAGAATACGAGACCCAGGAGATGCTGCAACGACTTTATGCTGAGGTAATTATTAGATATTTATAATAGTGGTTACATCGATCACTTTGTGTTTTCAGAGCCATTTACGAAAATCAACTATTATCCCAAATATCCCAACAATGTATGTGATTATCTTCCAGGGTTCTCTTTTATTGGTTAAACTGTTGGAAATCATAAACAGCTGGTGTTACATGATGATGTCGTAATGAATGTTAATTGCTAAGCGTAACTGTTAGTGATATCTACACAACACAGAGGTAGTATTTGGAACTGGCTCCTCTCCAAACACTAGCCGTACATTGTTCCTTGTACTCGGAACTTTGTCTCCACAAACCAATATTATATTACCTAGATTGAAGAGATTGTAGCTCAGCTCTCTTTCAAGTCCTCTACACGATGATGCATTATATTATGTGTGTTGTGATATTCATTTTATTCACTATTGTCTTCAGTACATGGAATAGTTTGAGAGGTACGCTTCAGTCTGTAGAGTGAGTTGTAGAGCTTGCACTTCTTCGTTTTCATGGACATAGTCTCTTAGTGTTTTATACTAATACGCCTGTGAGAATTGATAGCAAGCCGCATATAATGTAGGTAACAGATTGGGTTCGTTTGAATACCCTGTTGTTGTGTGTATAATAGCGACAACATGAGGCCTCTATTAACATCAGGCATGTGTTTTGAGGCTGGCTTTGGTTTGTTGAGCTTGTTCTTTTCAAATTTATACTTGATCGCATTATCCGTGCTTCTCATTCTCGTGTGTAGTGCTTTTATACATTTACAAAAGAGATATTATTAAGTTATATATCACAGTAAAAGGAGGTATTATTAAGTTATATATCACAGTAAGCTGTATAGCTAACAGATTGGGTGTTTGAATAGTTTTTGTGTGCACAATAACGACACAGCATTATTATTACCTCTCACCTCCTCTAATACTCATCTAATAATGGTCGAAAGTTTGTCATATATAATAGTAATATATGTAATATATAAATTTATATATAGATTTAATATATAGATATATATATAGTATGTGTATCATGGTTATATCGTGCTTGCCGCTTGGGTATTAGTGATTGCGTGTGTTACTGTGCTGTCGAGACGTGATTGCTAAGTTACGTTTCGTAGTTCTCTTTGACAGCAGTGTATGAATGACGGAAGGGATTTATCGTATATATTTATATATTATATATATTGTGTTCTCAGTATGTAGTAGCATTTACTTGAATTGGTTTGTTGTGAGGATCTCAGGAGATGCCTTCTGTTCGCAAATACCTGTGCTTCAATTCCTCTGTGAGTTTTATTACTTTTGTTAGCTTACCCACGTGAGTTTTATAAGACTCTGTGACCTGTGTGAACAGAAACTGATAATTTAAGCTGCCAAAACTAAACACTTTCGGATTAACGGAATATTTGCTCGGAAATAAGGATGTTAAAACTCGCTAAAAATGCAGATAAAAGATTATGGGAAGGGTCTAAGGATACAGTGTCGTGTACAAAATTGGCAGTGTACAGTACTGGGATTTTATCTCAAATATCGTCAATAAATTTAATGCGATTAGGTATTAAGTTCATCTCATTGATGGTTAATTTGGTTGTAGTCTGTAGAATATGTCGTTCGTTTCTGACACAATAAAATTTTAACGTCAGCTATGAGATTGGACAATGTAAGAATTCTTTGTAAGTTGCTTTTTTAAGTTAACAAAGGAGTGTAGCTTGTTCCAAAACTTAACTTGGCTCTTTACCTTCATTATCTCATTAATCTTAAGAAGTGCAGAGGTGATCTGTGTGGGGCAATTTGACAATAAGTTTAATGTAACTTAGAATGTTACCTTAAACCTACTATACAAAACCCTACACTAACCCAATAATGTAATTCTAAAGGGCAGGAGATGAAATGTGGGTGAACCTGGGCTGTAACGTGTATATCAATTTCAGGAGGGAACAGGGACCACACCTACTAACTCCGTGATCCCTACCCCCTCTCCTCCTCGGCTAGATGCTATAGCTAAACTGGAGAGTTCTTCCTGTCTCTCCCAACTATCTCTTACCGTGTCGGACTCTGAGTCGGAGTACTTTGACGCTAACGGTAAATTTATAACTTTATTCTAATTTCTATAATCAAGTTGAAACTTTGCGTCTGCTTTATGAAATTTTTATATGTAGATGGAAATTTGCGTCTGCAAATATTTCTTCTATCTTTTGTCAATGTTTGCAGACTACAACGACGAAGAAGAAGATCCCCACGCTGTGAGTTCTGATTGTTATGTAAACGATTCAAGCTATGTAAACATGGCCGGCCATGCAAACCATGAAAAACAGGCAAACTATGCAGAAACAAGCTATGCAGACCCTGTAGACAGAGAAAACGATGCCGAATATGGAGTTGATATTCGCCATGTTTGCAGCTCATGCTGTATATCGTAAATTTAGGTTGACACCATCAAATTCACATCCGCGTCCGACAGGAGCCTTTTTCCAATGTTTATCATTTAACCAGCTTCTGGAAAATTGTGCTATAATTAGTAAAGCATCTTACGGGCTAGTTTGACAAGGGTTACAACCTCAGTCCTCAATCATCCAATGCTTCAACCTGGTTTCCTTCAATGCGCTTATATTTTCTCAGTTCTCTAAGCTTTATAATTCAATTTTTTAATTGAATTCCTTTTGATAAGAAATTTATCAGTACCGTCAACATTGGTTGATTGGTCGGTTTGCGACACATTTTAGTATTTTGTACCCATGAATTCAATCTAACAAATATTTAACTATTATATGGTATTCTGACGAGTCGAAGTTAATTAATTGTTGTCATGGTAACTTTTAACGGGAATTCAAAATAGCCTTTTGGTTTCTCTTCATCTGCACTGAACAATTTGAATCTTGGTTTGATTCTGCTAAAATATCGATGATTTATTACATCATAATTGTTGATTTGCTGCATCATTGATTTCTATCTATTCATATGAACGGGGTTATCTAAGAATATCCTGGAAAGCGAAAAGCAACATAATATCTCCTGAGGTATGGACTCAGGACTGTGGCATATCTTTCGGTTTTTCAGCTAATTTTGAACATCTTGTTTGACAAACATAACAAAGAAAATTATTTTGAAGCATATTTCAAGCCTGATCTGTGATAACTAGTGCATGGTATTTTTATTCTTTGTTACCATGACAACATGATTTTAGGCTTTTAATGCTTTCAACTTGGAACTTCCTTATTCATGCATATCAAGCCTTTCATAATTAGATACAACAATCAATTTAAATTTGTTTTAACTTTGCTGGGGTTGTTATACAAAGTATACACAGGAGGCATTTAAATGCTTTTTCTTCGACGGCGCTGAGTCATTTCCGCTTTAAAACAAGTCATTTAACAGAAGCTGGACGAAAGGGCCCATGAGAGGATAGCATGGAAGCATGGAAATGCTTTGCTTGCCTCTAGGGCGTGACATGTTTATAAAAGGTTCACCGGGCTATCTAGGAGAAGTGGAGGGGAGAGTATCTGGGGTCAGGGTAGTAGGAAAATAAATGCCCGGTGCTGGGAGGGTCATATCCTTAGATGAGGAGCCTGAACTTCATGATCCAGTTCCTCTGGAGCTCTGGCACAGTAAGACGCGTGTGGCAAGGTTGGCTATAGAAGGGATATGTTGACCGTGAGGTAATAGTCCTGGAAGTACTACCCTCTAAGTGTACGACGGCTGGACACTCTCCGTGAAAGTGCACGACAGTCTCCCTGTCGTGGTTGCACATAGGGCAGGCACTAGTGTTTGATTTGAAGATAGTATGGAGGTATTCGTTGAGTCCGCAGTGTCTTTAATATGTCTGGGTTCATTGCATTGGTAATCCAATCTTTCTGGTTGAGTCTGTTGATTTTACTGTCGATACGGTGTTTCAAAAGGATTGAGGTACTGTATACGGGGAAATTCAAAATGGAATCGCTGGCTGTACCAATCTTAGCCAGATCATCCACTTTTTCCAACAATCCGGTGAGTGATGCTATCCACCGGCGGATCTCCAGTGTGTTCAAGTATCTGAGATTATTTAGGGAGTACAGTCTCGTGGTTGAGCACGAGGTGAGGTTTGGATGGAGGAGCGGCTATCCGTCCATATCATGGTATGCTTGTTGGTATATTATTATGTTGAGAGGTATTATATGCAAGCTTCCCTGATAGCTGTGAGTTCTGTCTGATAAAGAGTGCTATAAGCTGGAAACTTGGAAGATGTTTCTCCAAGAGTGATGTTGTTGTTGTTGTTGTTGTTGTTGTTATTACTTATTGGTGATGATAGCCAGCCCCGCGATCCGCATCCTGAGTATGTGCGTGACCCATCTGTGTAGCAGGTGATAGAATGTTGTATGTGGTGTTTAGCAGTTAGTCCCGGTATTCGGCTGTATTTGCGCCAGGAGTAAATGAAAATGTATATGATTGTTTTGCTGATTACATATTACCGATACTTAATTAATATATTATTAGATCTAGAATTAACTTGATTTGCTTCCTCAATCCTAACCTTTCTTACTCCGACATGTTCTACTTCTTATTTCACCTAATATCTCGTACTTCACCACCTGTACGTGACCCCATTTCAGTTTTTGTACCACGACAACAACGACCACCCCAAGTTGATATCCACCAACTCTGCGGACAGTGCCAAGTCAGACGACTCTCGTAAGTGCCCCAAGGCCCATCAACCTCGTACTTTCACTTAGCCACGGGGGCTCTGTGTTATTATTTACCCAATACTGGTTTTTAGGAAAGCTTATGTTGTTATTTTGCGCTTGAAGAAGAACTTATGACCTGTAGAAAACGGTAAGTTCTATGAATTGCTTATGGTACGGCACAAGACAACAGTCGACCAAAATTTTGAAATTTGTTGCATTTTAACCGTGTCAAATTGGCAAACAAAATGTATCTACTTCCGACACAAAGTGTTCATTGTCCAATGAGCATCCTGCCATGCTGCTACAATCGTGTTACTCTCGTGGTTGCCACATGACAGCTTACCTAACTGCTATTGGACAGCGCACTTTTTTCACGTTAGTCACATTTATTGAGTACAGTACGGAATAAATGTAGGTGGTAAGTATCGATGTCAATGATATTGGATGTGAATTGTGAGTTGTGTGCTGTGAATCTAATTTTGCTTAAGCATGAAATCCAGCCCTTCAAGCTGGCTAATATTGGTCACGTTACCTATCAGCTGACTGTACCTCGTGAGTCGTGACTGCGTCACTCGGTGACCACGTGCCCGACTGATTGGTGCAGTACCATAAGGTATAATAACCCACTATCTTTCAGATGGTCATGGAAGGTTGTTGCCCTCGCAGAAGCTGCTGTTTATTGTATTTCACGGAGGTACACTGCTTGACATGAACACGGACACCACCAAACTGGCAGACTGCCAGACCCTGCATCAGAGTCTGTCTAATGTGATAAACACTCTCTGTCCTACCTACAGAAACAGGTAATGTCATTGAAAGTGCTGATTTTAGCAATCTTTAAATACATAACAACAATTTTCGAAAACAGCAATAATCACAAAACAGAATCACAAGAGACCAAACCAACAGACCAACCAAATTGTAGCACTAAAACAATTTCCAACAAAAACATCAATATTTTATAATTTATATATAAATATAGTCCCCCTGTAGAAAAAAGGCTTTTCAATCGTCACCGTTGGTCAAATCTAAAATCTTGCTACAACGATTCAATGGTCAGTTTAGTTTTAACCTCTGGAGTAACAAAGAGATCAGCTGACCGCAAGATCGAACTGATTGTTTCGATGTTAGAGTTTTTGACCCTAATAATTTGCAAACGCAGGCTACTTCGGACTAAAGCATCAACTCCAACAACTTTCCGTGGATTTAAACACGATATAAAGCTCAACAACTTTTCAACGAAAATATAGACAACCGGATCAAAAATGGCGTTAAGATAAAATAAGTTCTGGGTAGCTTTAATCAAATTTGTATCCTGACTGTCTAAAATGTTCCTAACCACAATAGTTGGTAGCCAGGAACTGATAGTGAAGAGACCCATAGTGATGGTCCTGATGGAGAGCTTGGTACATTTGTCATGTTCCTTGCAAATACCTCTCACTTTTAGCTTAATAATGATCCCAACATACACGACTAGAGTTACAAAGCAGCTGGTGGAGAAGATGAGGAACTTAACCAGGAGATGGTTGGTAAGGGAGGAGATGTGGACCCAGGAGGTGATGAGACAGGTACCGGAGCTGGCGTTTTCGTTTGGGATGTAGAGGGATATGGTGTTGTCACCTTTCTCTATGTGGTACAGAATCAGGGTGATGGAAGGGAGTCCCAGGGAGAAGAGGTTTGTCACCCAGGATAGGCTCATGTGCGTTCCTGACTTGTATCTGGGGCAGTTGAAAGTTAGCAACATCTTGAGAAGAACCTTTTTAGGCACTTTTATTATAATTTTTTTATTTTATTCTTAGCTTCTGACTTAAGGCAAGCACAGTTTTGCTTTAAAAATGACAACATTTCTTGATTTAATAAAAACCTGAACGGAATGAAAACTCCGAATATTCTGTCGACAGTGACTGGAGAGACAGAAAGAAAGTTGTAGTATGTTATCCAGAGAAACAGGTTGGTGCTTATCTCACACAAATGTGAACTATCTCTGCCATACCAAACCCCTGAAGCATATCATAATGTCAAATACAAGCGCTATATCAACAGATTAAAACCAAGCTAGATTCTCCAGCAAAACTCATAGCAATGGTAACTATGTGCATAATTGTAACCATGGTATCCAACCTAGAGGTAAGAAGATGCAGGCGTGTAGACTAAGCATGATATCTGACAGGATGACGGATATGTAAGATCGTTTGTGAGTTTCTATAAGATCCTTCGTTCTTCTGCAATACCACATTCTTCGTCCCAGTAAACCTGGAAAAGTATGTATTAAACTGAAAAATGTGGAAAAAAAACAATCAGAGTTGTTTGCCATAGTCATACTCATAGTAGGAATGGTATTTTTGTCGGTAAAAACTGCCAGAATAGCGAGACATTTTACTAATTTTGTGTAGTAATATTTCCCTGTCACTAAAATTTTATCAGAATGAAATCCATATTATTTGTGAAACAATAATGTTGTAGTTGTGTCCATTTAAAGAAATTTATTTATCTAATTATCAATATGTCGCCTGTCAAAGCCCTTGGTACTCTTGGTTCATTTCTTTATTGAAGAACCTTTATCTGATGATACAATTCTCTTAATACATACTTGCCGGACAAAAATAAAGTTTTAACAACTGGGTGAAGACAACAGAACCAAATGTTGCGATAAGATGCTCACCACAGTTGAGAAGACAAGCTCCAGTCATGAGGATAAATACCACCAAGTCCAATAGTTCGAGCATATCGGCTGTTATCCTACAAACATGTTGATATCTTACTATATTTTAATATATAAAGCGAGTCGATATATATGTATATATCCATACCATTTTACTGACACCACGGCATCAACTTTAACACGACTTTCCGCAAAAAACGTGAAAGATATACTTTTGAAACTTTTTTGGCTGGGTCGAATGCTTTTATGGCCTTTAAGTATAAAGAAATAAAAATTGGCCAAGGAATAAATAATTTAGGTCCAGAAAATGGACCCCCAAGTTGTGTCAAAACCACAAATTAAATAAATAAGATTGTCTAATTTCTTAACGTCTCTTGACTTTTTGACACCACTTTAGACTTTTAGAGAATCACGGGTTTACATAATTCGCATAATTGTTAGAATTAAATATGAAGATGATAACATAATGTGTATGTTGTAACCGTTGGTTGAATATTTATATTCAGCCAACGGCTGTTTGTTTATAAACAACTTATTTATAAGTTTATAAACTCTTGTTTATAAACAACTCTTGTTTATAAACTTTTGTTTATAAACAACTTTCTTTGAAACGATTGTCAAAATCTCAAAATTGGAATAAACTATCGAATACCAAATCAGAGTCTCAACGCTATGGCCAGCTCACTAAATTGTTGTCTAGTCTAAACAAATAGTTAACCCAAACGTTTTTAAACGTTAAAACTGTCCTTCTTACGGACGCATGGTTTTAACTTATAAATACAGAGAGATCTGATGTCCTGGTGGGAAGTTCTAGATGAAAGCTGTTATTTTATGATCAAAATCTATTTAGCCAGTAGGCATAGCAAAATTAGTACTTATATAGTACGACAGTAGTACTATATAAGTACTATACTACTACTCATGTTCAGACCTCTCATTGAAGGTCGTTCACATATTGTGATATTGCGTAAGCTGGTAGTTACAATTTGTAACAGGACGTCAAAACACATAGATTGCAGGGGTAGATCAAAACAATGACTAGTACTAGTACAAGATAAAAACAACAACCAATAAGAAAAATAATATACTAGTTGGCAACCGATAAGTTAATATAAGAAGTATAATGATAATGTTTTAATTAGCAAAATATTCTTGTTTTATTTACTCGTTAGTTATTATTTATCAACAATCCACGATAAATTTACATAATATATTTATGATCATTAGCTGTTGTACGTATTGACTACACCCTCGATCCTTGTCAGAACGCGGATAAAATATTCAACATCCCTCGTCTAACGTCATACAGTAATGACAGGACAATTAATGGTACCCAAACTCCACTTTCACATAATTTAATATTTGGAATATGTTATACGGTTGAAGAATTAAATTTTAGATATTTCGACTTCCTGACAATTGTCATCACTAACGCTTAAGAGAAAAAAAGGAAAGAAAAGTAGATCCAAAAAAACATTTATGAACATATTATGTATTGTTCAAGTAAGACTTCTAACCAATCGCCCGAAGTTTTTAACCCTAACCATCACATCGACACTAACCCAACACCAAGTCACAAACCCCTTCCCTAACTCGGAAAATCAAGTTTTAAATATGACTAGAAAAAACTTTCCGTTCCCATAAAACGACGTATCAAGTAAAGCAAGATGCCATACTGACGAAGGGACAGGAAAAAACAAAGAGGAGCTCTTACTGTCATGATAGATAACTACTTACTGGCTGCAGTTAAACAAAAGAAAGTCAGCCAAAAAAGGTAGCAGAACAATTGCCAAACAATTGCCAACAGTTACTGAACAATTGAGACTACGGCAGGAAATATCTGATGTTGTTTACCAATTGACGATTAGCGGCCTGCCCATATATTATACTGCTTTCGTGTTCCGAACAGTGGATGGGTCCTGACGTGGCACCTTTATCGAAACACAATAATACAGCTGGTGTTTGTTTATGAATATTAGATAATTAGAATACGAATTAAGATTGGAAACAAAAGACTGCTACAGATGGTGCCATCGCTTCATGATGTTGTATGCTTCAGATAACTCAATGATGCACAAGATGTAACGAGGCTGTTCTACTCTGGTAAAAGTTCATGATACAGTAAAACTCCGATTTACCGCGGCATATTCGTTTCCCCTAAATTGGGCTTAACATACATGGTGTGATGGCCTACCGACAGTTGCGCCCATTTAGGCCATTAACAGGTTCCCAATCAGTGACGTGATCTGATTCGTCATGTCAGATTCTCAAAACGACATTACAGAGGGTCACATAATGTCCAGTTATCCTTGTCGAGGGATGTGATGTCCGTCAAGAATAGTTTAGGGCTATTCGAGACCAACGAGTCACTACTGATTTCCATCTAGATCACCTGGCCCATGGCATGATTACTGCCAAAAAGCGTAAGTCCTCAAATGATGTTTTGTACAGGATCTCAATCTGCAAAGAGTTCGACGATTATTTTTGTTTGGTTTTTGTTCATAGAGCTGCACGCCATGTATGTCCAGGTTCATCATAATATATATAATGTGGACTTCTGGGCAATGAGCTTGGTTGTGGGACACACTACTACTCATACTAGGGAAGTTGAGAGGCCTCAAATCAAATCTCATTAAAGAGATATCAACAGAGTGTGAGCCACTGCCTGACTAACCTGTGATTAGAGTTTGCCAGGCTCTATGAAGGTGGCAGAGAGTGTCTTCTTTGTCCTATCCTTTGTCCGTGATGCTGGTAACAAACTCTTGTTGTAGGTGGTGGTGACATAAACTCATTTGCATGAATGATACGAGATGATGAGGTTGAGCAAGTGAAAGTTGAAGTTATAATATAAATGAACACAAATCGTACGTAAGCAACGTCAAAATGTACTGCCGAAAAATAAACGTACATAAAGACATAACATAGGAGCATAGTAGAATCGTTAAAACAATGTCACTCTGCGAATCGCAGATAGAGAGGAATGCTAAGGAGAAAATTGAGGAGAGAATGGGGTGAGATGCGGTGAATATCTGCCAGATGAGGAGAGGAGCCAAGGTGTTGAAGACGTTCGAACTCCAGGGCTGGGCAGTAAAAGAGTATATGGTAATTATCTTGGCGCCCAGAGAAACAGTATGAACAATTAGGGTTGATTGTGCCGTCTAGTTTGTTCAGAATGGCTTGAACTTGAAGTGGTGCACGGTTATCCAGAAAAACAGTAAGAATGCGAAAGTTACGCCTGTTAAGAGACCTGAAGAAAATAATGTGCTGTGGTAAAGAGTAGTGGGTAAGTAGAGAGAGAAGAGGATTAGAGGAAGTGGAAGCAGACCAGTCAGTGGTTCTGGTGGTAAAGTTGTTATCCCGCAGAGTCGACTTGAAATGGCTTACGGGAAGAGGTACTGCTTTTATTGAGCTGCATGTGGTCTCTTCCTTCGCAAGAGTGTCTGCCATTTCGTTTACTCGTATGTCCTCGGATCTATGTTAGGGAAACAGAAGAGCAGAAGGAGGTGAGCATATATCTAGTTCTCTTGTTTCAATGCATAGGGGGCTAGAGTCTAGACGGAGCATCGGCAGATATGGCATGAATAAGTGACTCACATTAAGTGACTATTGATTAATGCGATTGTTTCCTCTCCCAAAAACTTCTCTCTCATGTATCAGTATATAGAAGACGATCGCGAAGAACTTGAAGTAATGCATAAGATATGAGAAGCTCAAAATCGCAGCACGACTGTGTATATTAGATTAAGATTTAATTGTCGGAGAGCTGTTAATTTTAAGATTTAAGTATCAAAAATAGCTGGAAATGGAAATTCCCAACCGTTTTATATGTTCAAAGATTCTGTTATATAAGTAGTTCTATTTAAAAACCTGATAAACAAACTAAATGAGCTAAACGATTAAACGAAGTGCGGCGACAGTGCCATCGGGATCCAACTATTTAACAAATGCTATTATTTTCTATTGGCTGATCTGCGAGCCGGACGATATTTGTCGAGCTATGATTGGCTGAACTGAAAAGGATTACGTAGTTCAGCACAGTCCAATGATTCATGAATTTAGTTGTAGGATTCACTATGTTTCTGGTCGTTATATAAGTAGTTCTATTTAAAAACCTGATATACAAACTAAATGAGCTAAACGAAGTGCCGCGACAGTGCCATCGGGATCCAACTATTTAACAAATGCTATTATTTTCAATTGGCTGATCTGCGAGCCGGACGATATTTGTCGAACTATGATTAGCTGAACTGAAAAGGATTACGTAGTTCAGCACAGTCATTGATGATGATGAAGGGAGCTCAGAATTCAGGACAATTCAATTAATTGGGTCCTAGGATTCACTGTATCTTCGGCCATTTAGCGATTTAAATTTTCAGTGCTTTCTGTCATGAAAAAAATGGTCCCCTTGTTCAGCTCCTTAGCATTTAAGATCCACGTCTTCAAAATTATTATTTCATGAGAGACGAGAGTTACTTAATTTGGCTTACTTGATTGTGCTTCACAATCAATTTTTTCTTTAGTCTTAACCTTTAAAGTTTCCTAACGTTTCCTAAATTTATATTTTCTGACAATATTCCATTTTCGCTGATGAATTACCGAGGGAACATGTGTAAGGTGATATGAATGGGTCCCAATCCTCATCGACCGTCTACAATCTACATTCTTACATTGTAAAGGCTTCATTATAATACATAATAACCGCAGTATCTTTATTGACTACAAGCATTAAAGAAAATACTACAGAATCCAGAAAACATGGGAGGAACGTGTAAGAAACTTTGATGCTCTGGATAGTGATTAAATAATCCCTGATGAGATCTGAAAGAGGGCAAACCGTATGTGTTGGTTGTGTCATGTGATAAGAATGACTCATTCCAGACTCATCGCGTATACTCTTGATTGAACCCCATAGGAAAAGATCAAAGGAAACACTTACAACTACCTTTTACCTCGAGCTTGAGTGGCAAGATATGAAACAGTAGTGTGAGTTTCCAATCCCAATATTTATCCATCCCCTCGGCCACCTTCCATGTACGTCATGTCCCTGGTGCTAATTTGCAAATAGTTGGTAACGTGTGCTCCATACCCCCAAATGTTAGCCAGGTATTACTTAATTAATATAATATGAGGATCCATCAAGTAACCAGTTCCTATAAAAAGCCGGGAGTTTTTTAATGGATTGATAGTGCGAGTCAAAAAAAGGGGGACCGCAAAAACGGTAAAATTAAGATCAAAATACCGAATACCGATGTGCTGAAACATACTAATATAATTTATGGGCTCAAGTTGAAAGCTTTTTTCCATCATAAATTCTATATTTTCTCAAATACCAAAATGGAACAGGTTTATCATAGGATGAAGGATCCAATATTATCCATTGCGAATATTTTCTGATCCTTTTTAATTAAACCGCTAGACCGTGAAATCATTACTATGTATGTTTACACGAGAAAGATGTCGTTATTTGGAATTCTATAAACGATTTCTCCCTTTCAGGATAGAGATAAAGTTAGTTCAATGCCCACAAGTATGTGCCGATGTGGTCGCTTCTCTGGTTGGTTCACTGCCTTCTGTTGGACCAGGTCAGAAATCACACTCGGATTACGAGACATGTTTTACATTTTTGGTTTCTAAGTGAGCATTTACGTCATCTTGATTATATAACTTTCACTGGAGTAAATTTGTTCAATGCATGTCTATCCTATTATATTAGGGACGATAGTGTTCGTGAGAGGATGGGGACTTGTCCCATTGTGATAAACAATTTAATTTGTTGAGTTATTCTTTCTGGCCGTTGGAGCATACAAAACTTTGAGGTTAACATTGGTCATTAGAACCACCCGGGTACCGTCTCGGTTTACAATCAATCATATACAATCAACTATTGGCCCAATAGTATTGGGTTCCTTAGATCGTTGGTGGGGTTCCCATGTTTTATGCAATGGCATAAAATGGCATAATAATTGGAGAATAAATCTCCATTTTTTCCATTTTCTCAATAGAAAAAGTCTCCATTTTATGCCATTTTATCCCATATAAAAAGTTTAAAATTAAAAAAACCCAATTTTTTACAAAATTTTGACCCTAAATTTCAACAAAAGACCAAATACCAAAGACTATTTGACCAGAAAATGTTAATCGTTTAAATAGGCGAGAATAATCTACAATGTAAATAACCCAAAGGTAGACGATCAACCTCCCCATATTAAACGTCTTAAACAGTTAAAGTTTTAAAATAGCACTTCTCAGATCGGTGGCAGAACGAATGTCTGGATCATGGTTACGGACTGAGCGGGGAGGTGGAGATACCCTTCGAGCTGATACCGGTGCTAACATGCCAGACCGCTAAATACCAGGAGGGACTCAAGACAGTGTGCAGGGAAGCTAACTCCGTGTTTAACGCTTATCGTGAGGAGGACAGTAGTTTCACTCATAACCAGGTGCCTAGTATAGTAGTATGGTTGTAAGATCTGGCATTTATCAAACTTACTTAGCTTACTTTCTTGATATTTACTATATCTTCTGCTGGTTAACGAATGAGTCGACAGCCTTGACGGCTGTAGTATGCTCCAATACCGTGGCGAATTCCTGTTAGGGCAAGTGGAATTTAGTAATTTTGACTGGAAACCAAATCTTGAACTGAACAGTGTACTGGAAAATGAGGGGGAATTGGGCAAGAACAGACGTGGCCAAATAACTGCAACTGAATGGTAGTGAAGTAGTGAGGGAGACTAGTTTAGCTGGGAGCTGTGAATTGTGAAGGCTAAGAAATTCTGCTCTAATTGCATGTCTAGAAGGCTGGATCGTTTAAATTAGTCTAATTTATAATATTATATTCTATTACAGATCTCATGGATCTTTCATAAGAACAATGTCTATACTCTATAGTGCTGTCAGTAGGAATATTTATGAAACATACGAATGACGAGCATGGTCAAGTTATACCATGAATGAAATACTATATCAGTATGCAGCTAAGTATGCAGATGTTTTTACAAACATTCATTGGAATGTAGGTATTCGCCACCCTGGTCGCACTGAGAGAGGAACTGGCGACTGGCGCCCAATTTCTCAGTGTATAGTTAATTCTGGCCCGGCCTGTATTGTAATTAAACCATATCAATGTCGATATCTATTGTACTGGTTGGTAACTATAAGTGACTTGTCTCCAACATCGTGGGACTACGCAATAGGACTGGAGTCTGGAATGTTGCAAGCCAGACTACCTGCCACCTGGTTATTATCTATTCTCATTTAATATAAGCTAATTTAGCTCCCAGTCTACATGGCTCCAAGGTACCTGGTATGATGGTAAGTAGTCTTTATATAATATAACTTCTACAAAATGAAACGACCGGTTGAGTCAGACAAATGTTTCAATCATGATACAAAACCATGATATCATCAGTGACAATAATAATATAGTCTAGAAAGTTCCTAACACACTTCTCCTAGGTAACAGTGATAGGGGATGTAGTAGGCTCTATCTTAGCCTACGATATCCTGTGTCATAGTGACGAGGAACTAGACCCAGGGTAAGTGACTTTTTAACGTGTCACGTGACTTTTCAGCTTTTCACGTGACTCTTTAATGTGTCACGTGACTTTTCAGCTTTTCGCGTGACTTTTAACGTGTCGCGTAACTTTTCAATTTTTCACGTAACTTTATTCAAAACTTGACAGAGCAACCTTTATTAATTGTTTTGTGGGATTGTTTTGTGAATTATTTTCATTTTTATTAAAAATTTTAACATTTTAACTTATTTGTCAGTGATTATATCGGGAATCTGGTCCCAACGGTATACCATATAAAGCGTCTTCCTCAACCCATTCTTATGTTAAATGTTAATCTTGAATAAGTAACGTGGAATTTAGTCAGCATGTTTTATTTGTAAAGTTTTTTAGGTTCAGTAAAGTTTAACTGTGATAATTTTTATGTCTCTTCTATGCCATATCTCTATTACTAGGAAAAGTAAGCCAGATAATGTGTGTCAAAGCCCGGGGGGTCGGTATGTCCTGTGATACCTCTGATTACTAATTGTATCCCAATCTTGTCTATAATGAAAAAATAATCACTTCTATTTTTGGTTCGAACGAATCTTTTTGTTTACCCGTTTTAAAGGATTGGTATCTTACTGGGTTAATTGTAAAATGATGAATTCCTGATAATAATAATTAGCATACCTGATATTTGAATGAATTCCTATAAATTGTCAATGGCTGAGATTGAAGCTGGCTAATCTCTCGGGCAAATTAAAAGGGCAAAATACTAGTTTCCCATTTTAGGTCGTTTAAATACTAAATTTTTGTCATCTCATCGAATGAAACCTGCAGAAACAACTGAACTAAAAACATTGATTTTTGCCCCAGCTATTTGCAACGAGAGCTCGTAGATGACAAGTTTTAAATTGCTTAAATTTTTCCGGTATATCCCTTGGGTGCATGATTCACTCATAATATGAAGTTTGATGACGACATTGTCTCATTATAATAACTCATTTTTCTGCATTTTTTACGTTCCGGGGTAACTACTTATCTACTCGTTATCATTAAAATAACTTGCAATATTTCAGGTTTGACTTCCTAGTGGACAAGTTTTTCTCCTTCGGTTCTCCAATCGGGAACCTAGTCTTACATCGAGCACTCCAGAACAAGCCAGGTTGGAAACAAGCCAAGTTTTCTTAAATAACTATCCAATAATTCCCAAAGTTGATTTTTCGTGTTATAGTTAAACCCTTCAGTGTTGTTCGTTCATAAAAACATTCTCAGTGCACCCAAAGAAGCTGGTGACCCAGTTCTACAACCTGTTCTACGCTTCCTCGCCGGGTGCTGTTAGAATTGAACCTGTTCTGGACGGACACTTCGCTTCATTTCCGCCCATCTGTATCCCCCGCTTCAACAAGTACGTTCTTATCTTTATAGTTGATATCTTCATTGGCAAGGTGACTGATTGACCTCATTTAAATCACGAGAAAAAATATTACCCTTTCCTTAAGATGTTTATTTGCATAACAGAACGTTAGCAAATCTAGGACAGGACGTCGCTAACCCTAAATGTCAATGACACTACAATTAATCCTTCAGGTCTCCGTACGGAGCCGGAACAAAGTACAATATAAACTCTTTTCTAGAGCGGAACCACACGTTCTTACAGGACCCTATACACCCTATAAACCCTAGCATTGCTACACATGATCCAACTAGCACCTCTGCTAGTTTAGTTCGACCCATTACAACCTCTTCGTTAGGTAAACCTCGCTACAGAATTTTTCAATGCCGAATCTGCTCATTATATTGGCAAAAGCTCCGATTATAATATAAAGCCGCCATATTAACATCATAGCTAGTGTTAGAGAGTCTACCCTATTTTGATTTGTCGTTTTCAATGTCGTTGTGCCATGACTCACGGAGTTGCAACCTTTACTACCTTTACCACCTTTACTACCTTTACCACCTTTACCATCCCAGGAATGTCAGGGGTATCAGAATGGTGGGGAACTAAACGTATAGACTACGCTCTCTACTACCCTGAAGCTCTGCGCTCTTTTCCTTCTCTCATCCTGCCAGCTCTTCTACACAGCAGTTATTGGGAGAATTACGATGTGGCTGCGTTTGTTGTCCAGCAAGTAAGTTTAAAGTTATGGTTGTTAAATTTCCTTGAACTTCTATGTCCTATGATCTTGCTAAAGGCGTAGATATAGCGCGCATACGCCTACCGTATGATCAGCTGTTTGTCGAGACCGCAAAAAGAAATAACAGTCAACCAAATCTGACTGAGAAAAACTCGACTATATAGAGCAAGGGTGGAGTCTAATTGGTGCGCGTTGGTAGTAATGAAGTTTTGACACATGTTCCTAAAGCGATTTCATTTAATGAAGTTTTGATCGAAAGCAAGTCGACCACAAAGAATTACCCAACTCAGGCATGAAGCAATTCGTAACTCAAACTGAGAAATATACCCGCACGTGCCACGTTTGTATACTGACCAGTCCACCACAAATGAACACATCAAGGGTGATCTGAAATTGAAACTAGTTTAATTTGCAATCTCTCGGTTCAACAGAAATGACGGTCACGTGATATAAATTGTTCCGTGCAAAGCACAATTGAACTGCTTCCCGAATCCAACTATAATGAAGTATTTAATCTTGGTCCGTAGTCTTCGTGGAATTTGGACAGATCTTTATAATTCAATTCGTGGTGGTCCCGTGACCTGTCAAAATGTGCAGCGTACTGCAACTTCCGATACCACTTATTTGCGTAGCAAAGTGCCAAGCGGTAGTGGGTGGTCGACAGGTTCCACTTAGTATCACCTCCTGTGATTAGATCTTTAGATGGTAAAATATGAATTTAATCGGAAATATCGAATTCTGTAGCTTTCAGAAAACAATAAACTAAATATTAATCACCTACAAATACTTAAGGGTACTTAAGGGTAAGCACAGAGCGCGTTTAAGGGTACTTAACTGTTACCAGGTGCTAGGACTGGACGAAGCCCTGCCCTCTACTCCCCACATAACACCCCGAAACACTGAGACGGATCTCCTTGCTGCTGCTCAGTCCGCCAGCTCCGCTAACAACACGGAGAAGTGGCTCAGACGGCGTACTAAGTTGAAGGTTAACAATTTGAACCCTAACCACCGCTGCTTCGATACGATCTATTTGGAGGGGCAAGAGCAGGAGATATTTGCTAAGTTTTTCTACGGACCATTGGATGCGCTCAGCTTGGTCGGAGAAAAGGTGGGACAATTTTGAATTAATAATCATTTATTACAGAAAAGTACATTTGACCAGCTTAAATCAGAATTTTTTCATTTCAGCATTTGTTTTTACTGCCTCCCGTGGAATGTACTTCTAATTTCAGGTGGATATTAGTATAATGGACCCACACCCCGGAGGAGAGTACAACTTTCTGGGGACCCAAGTAACCAGTCAAGGAGGCAGGATTAACTTCAAGATCCCGGAGAACTACAAATTTGGGACGGGGTTGTACCCGGTGAAATGTACGGTTCGAGGAGATAAATCCACTGCTGAGGGTTTTATGGCGGTGGTTCCTCCGGGGACGGAATGTGTTGTCTTCTCTATTGACGGTAGTTTCACTCTTAACATGTCGCTCATGGGAAGGGATGCTAAAATACGACCTGGTGCCGTCGAGGTTTGATGTGCTCAATTTTCACATTTCATTGCTTATGTGCAATAACGTTTGTAAAAGTAAAACTCGCCACAAGAAGGTCTCCCAATTCTCTTTTTTTAAATCTGTGAACAGTTTTTACATACTAATAAAGCTATCTCATACACACTTAATAATTAAATATCCTCTCCAGGTTGTTCGGTTGTGGCAGGAGCTGGGTTTCGTCATAATCTACATCACAGCCCGACCAGATCTCCAGAAGGAGAGCGTGTTGGAGTGGCTGGGTACCCACAATTTCCCGCACGGCATTGTGGCATTCAGTGATGGAATCAGTCCCACTGATCTCCTCAAGGACAAGATGGAGTACTTGATTCGACTAAAAAACGAGGTAAATCATAGCCAGGACTTAAATCAGAATTCAGTTTTAGTAAATAAAGAAATCATGGCGGTATTTTTCGAACAAATTATAATATTTCATTTCGTTGGAGATGAGACTACATGATTCTACTGTTATTGATTTTATTTGTCTTTAATCCTCCGTCCATTTCAGTGCAAGTTGAACATTTACGCTGCATATGGAAGCTCCAAGGACATTAATGTATATCAATCAGCTGGAATTCCACTAAGTAAAATGTACATTGTAAAACCGAAGAATCCAAAGCGAAAACATCAGGTTCGTTCACTCTTTCAATCAGCCGAATTAAGCCGTTTTGTTTTGTGTTTCGATGTTTCACGATTTATCGAGTGTTTCAATAATTCATATTTCGCTGTAATTGTAAACTCTTCATTCCGATTTGATGTTACTGTTAGGGATGTAAGCACTGATTCTGATAATTTTTGTTCAAAAATCCGAATCTACGATATCAGACGGAATATATATATTTCACCACCATTATAATGTTTCTGTTCACCTTGTGTCTTAGCTTGATGACGTTTTCACGATTGACTACGAAACATACGGCTCTCACTTGACAATGCTGAGACAACTTATGAAACGGCGAGCCAGCTCGACCCTCAAAGTCCCGCACCTCACATTTAAGGAACAAAAAGAGACATCCCCAATCCTAGTGACTTCAAGGAGAATTTCTAAAGATAGGAGAGATTCTACTAGTCAGATCGGGGGTTCACGCAACGTCATATCTGAACAATAATAACATGTGAGATGCTCCACGTGATTTGCATATCACACGCGCACGTGCACGTGGCGCGCACCCCGTGCCGCTTAATTCATATATTATTCGCTTTGTAGAGTGAGACATGGTGATGTTATTATATCTCATGAATACTTGTTGGCAAAGCAGCACTTTTTACTGAAATTTGGAATCAACTCCTGTGATTTGTCTTTTAAATGTTTCTTCTTAATAAACTCTGTATAGTCTTTACCACTACCAATAACCAAAGCTACTAAGTACATACTCAACGTCCGAAAAAATGAACTAGTACTACTGAATATAACTTTTGTTTACACATTACATTTGAATGAGCAATTTAATCATGAAATCTAGCTAGGACTCAATAACGTTCGAGCAAATTAATAGTCATTTGGTTACGAAAAACCGGCCACAATGCGATCGCTCTACTAATTTTGCGGACGTTAGGTATTCCAGTTGGACGTATATTTCTCTGGCAGGTATTCAGACTTGGTGTTAAATCTTCATATATTTATTCTTTATTCGTCATTAAAAATGATTTCTCCTTTATTTGTCACGAAAAGATAGTTGATACACAAGGCTTTCATATAAATGATGTTGCTTTGTATGCCCTTCATCCCAATTTCGTATTCATAGCTATATCTATGACAATTCCTGAATTCCTAGTTCATATGAATTGTGATCAATGTTATCGTAACGAATACTTGCCTGAAAAATACCGTCCAGCTAATATTATCTCAATCTTATGTAAAATTGTGGTTGTGAATTCTTTAATTGTTATTTGTTGTGCCTATTGGAGCCCTTTTGGGGCGTACAATAGTCCGACAGTACTGCGACAGAACTGCGACAGTACTGCATCCACAAGTAGAGAGCTAGGCAAAAGCAAGGGACTCCGTGGTTCTTTGTCCACTTCTATCAAGTACAGCAGCTCTCTCAGCATGTGTCCAGGTCCCCTTTATCGTAGTGTAGAAATGTCGCATTTTAGTCTCTGTCACGTCAATATGCTGCCCGTGAAGCTGTAAAGTTCTCCGCAAAATAACTGAGAATAAGAATTAAGATCCTTCTGAAGCACACTGTTTAAGCTGCAGTTCTGTCACAGTACTGTAAGTTGTAACTGTAACCTAGTACTGTCGCACTAGTGTCACAATAATTTCGCAGTACTGTCGTCGACGAACTATTGTACGACCTCCTTTTGTCTTAGCCCAATTAGTCGCTCCAAAATATCAGATTATCAGCTTATATATATCTATGTGTGACTTCTAGTGAAAACAGATACAATTGATGTTTTATATATTTCTTTCTTTAAATCAATACAAAATGTACTATCAACGGCCCCTGTCAATAATTCAGGCAATGGGTTGATATACTGATCGACTATAGAAAAAAGCATGGAATTGAAATTTACAGATTCGTAATAGCCTTAATTCTTATCATCTTTATAGCCACAGCTAGATATTATGTAAATTATAAATTCATGAATATGTTGGAGTAGAAGTACTTAACGAATAGCAGCAATGATTTTGCTATGAAATGTGATCAGCTGTTATTAAATTTTGCAGCTTTGCATTAATTTTAAACTTTGCATACAACTTTGCATAAACACTTTTCATATAATCTTACATAAAACTTTGCATAAAACTTTGCATAGAATTCATTGCAATGTTTTCGATTCAGTTCACAGTTTTATTTAATAGTGCTTTGTCTCTCAGGTAAACTGGATCAACAACAACCACTTCACGGATCATTACCAGTACCTGAAAGGCTTGGCACCTAAATCCTCATCCTGGACTCGAGTCCCAATCAGTGTTGACGTCTTCAAATTCCCCTCCGAAAAGAGGGTTTCTCGTTGTGGCACGATAAAGAGACAATTCTCCGCTACAAGGAGTCGGACAGATCTGTTACAATTGCCCTCCACCTCAGAGTTGAGGGAGGACACGTGACAGGGCGCGCGTCACCGGGCGCACGTGCAACAGGGCCCCGGAGCTAGACTTTAATTTGTTTATACTCGTCCAGATTTACATGTGCTATCAGATGTTTAGTTTTATGTTAGGAGACACTCTTGAGATGATATATGTTGAACCATATAATACATTTGGTGAAATCTGCTGATCTGCTGGGCTGTGCTGATCAGGTGATATCACATCGTTCTGATAAAACCAATGTTCGGGTTAACCTGTTAACCTGTTAACCTGTTAACCTGTTAACCTGTTAACCTGTTAACTTGTTAACCTGTTAACCTGTTAACCTGTTAACCTGTTAACCTGTAACCTGCTATTCTCGAGTATTAAAGGCTAGGGTATTAGATTAAAATAAATTTATATACTGTCTGATAAAAGGGCAATGAGGCGTGCAGTTTATACCTTTGATTTCCTGCCTAGAACAGAAAATGTAGAAGTAGAAAATGTTTGTGTCACTCTCATTTTGATTTATTGAATATCAACATGCATATAATCTGTGTAATCTAACAATATTTGAGGGGGCATGCTGACGATTATTTTAATTTTTCGATGCAGCAAGCTTAATTTTTGATTAAGTTGTATTGTATGCCAGCTGTATTTAATATTTAATCTTTAACTGAAAACATAGTATTTAATAGTTGATTGATTTCCCGTAACTAATTTAAAGTCCCACTCATTGAAAATTATTATTTTTGACCAAAAATATTATTTAAAAAAAGCTGGAATTATAATTGAATATTTAATTTTTCGATTGGTCGAAATTGTTGTCACTCCGATTAATTTGAATAATTTAATGAAGATGTACGTTTTGTTGAGTTAAATATCTTATTAGTACCGTAGTTTACCCGATTTATTGTAATTAGGTGTGTGATTTGCAGCTTGATTTTGTATTACCTTATCGGACCTTATTTGGACGGACATTACATGAACGGACATAATTATGAACGGACATTAATATGAACGCTCGAAGGCATTCAAAACCATCAAAAATTCGAATTTTTTTCAATTTTTTTGACGTTTTTTTAATTTCAGCAAATGATTTTTGAATCCATTTTTTATACAGTAAGTAAGAAAAGCAGTCATTAAGCAGTAAAATGATAAAATATGTGTACATGATCAGTTTTTAATATCACATATCATCTTCATCAAATGGGTTTTCGTGCATGAAATATTCCATGCTTAAAGCATCAGTGATTTCTAGCTTTATGGAAACCTTTTTTATCAAACTACCCCGCGGTCCTGCATTTCAGTGTTAACTTTTACAAGCCATTCGGCGTGAAGTGGTTTTATCTTAGACAACTTAAGGTTAACCTTAACATCACGTGGAGCTTTCCTAGCACTGTTTCATTACCGCCCCTGAGTAATATGAGCTATAACAACGTCGGACAATGTCCTTTGCAACACGATTTACCGTAATATCTAGAGGCTGGAACAAGTTTGTCATGTTGGCGGGGACTAGTTCATGAACTATGTTGTTGAGTGCCATAATTAGAGTTTTCTGTGCCTCCGGCAGACCAAGGAGAACCTTTCCGTCGTTAACTTACGGCACAATAAAGTTCTCAAATATGTTGTCATATTCTGGACAAAAAGTTCGAAATGGAAAAATTTTTGAAAAAATTTCAACTGACTTTAACTTGGACGGACATTAATTGAACGGACTTTATTTGAACGGACATTAAGATGAACGCTAGGGCCTCCAGCGTTCAAGTAATGTCCGTCCAAATAAGGTCCGATAAGGTAATCCTTGTATTATTTTGTTTTTTTTTGATATTCCGTGTTTCTGTTTTGTCTCTGTTTACGGTGTAACTGAATGATTGAAAATGCAAATGACGATAGCTACTGACAATGATCTACATTGATACTAAAAATGAATGATTATAACTGCGAATAAAAGATGAAACTACGAATAAAATATCGCTACTCGGAATATAATTAAAAGATTTTGCCGGTTAAGTCACTTAACCGTGCGAACTGCATAACACAGATTTTATTCTCAGTTCAGATCTTTTATTTATATTCCGAATAGCAATATTTTACTCGCAGTTTCTCTTTTGTCGCAACTTAATAAATTTCAAACAATTGTCATTGCAACATGAGACTTATAATGTATAAATAATGCTCCGATCCGGATACGTAAGTTAACTATTTAACTGTAAATAAAAGCCGTTTCCCCTTTGTCACAACAATATAGATACAAGATATTTCGAACTGTTATCAACAACATGTCAAATTTCAATGAAAAATAGAGTAAATATATAATACAATTGAGGCAATATATTAAGTCAGGTAGTTACTAGTTACTAATACTAGTTACTAATACTAGTTACTAATACTAGTTACTAATACTAGTTACTAGTACTAGTTACAGTACATATACACATTGAATCTGCGCTCTATAATAATAACAACACTTTTTGTTTACATAACGAGAGTTTACACTCAGGTGCTTTGGAAGAATGTGTTTATTTCACTTGCTACAACTGACTCCTGCTGCTGTTGTACATTTGGACTGTTACGCCTTTTAGAGATCTCAGATCATGTGATCAACTTCGCCTTTCAGTTCGGTAAGTACGTACATATTATGTTGTAGTGAGAAGATGACCTCCTGATTTTCCATTGGTTAAAAACTAAAATTGCGAGTTTAATAATATTATCACACTTTCGAGCCAAATTTGGCAGGAAAGCAGAATTGATATTACATGCCCCGATGGGGAGCACTGGCTCTCACCCGGGGGCATGAAATATCAATCAGTTGCTCAGAGAGAGTCCCGATAATCCCATAGAACAAGGAGCCCACTCTCAACAACTGTTCTACTACTGTGAGGTACTGATTTAAATAAAGATTTAAATCAACAACCTGAAGTAGTCTATGACCGTAAATGCAGTGATCAGATAAACTTTCCAGATTCAGGAAAAATATATATTTATACCTTGTTTTAAAAACATTTCCTTGCGTTTGAGATGTGTTAAGCAAAATACAATTTTTTGTTGTAAAACTTTTTCAAGCTGTTGCTTTTTTACTGCACTTCATAGTTCAAAACTTAATTAGGCTTCGGATGATGAAACAAAGTAAAAACTCCCTGGTCTGTACGAGTTTCAAGCGACTTAAGGTTACTGAAAACGAGATCAAAGTTTACAAGCAGACTTGAAAGTTGCACAAAGTTTTGGTACTTGTCAGCGATACAATCAATCAGGCTCATTAATTTCCTTAATCGCTTACTTGAAATTAAAAAGGAAGTATCATAACAAACTACAGTCACCCTCACAAAAAGTAGTAAACACAGAAACGATGTTTGATCTATTCGAAGGAAGAAAACACACAAAACAATAATCTTGGTGTCAAGTAGTTATATTTGAAAGAAAATTATTGTCAAGAATTGATAAAGGGCTGGTCAGCAAATCGTAACGTAATAAATTGTGATACATTACGATATGGGATCATTCGCATATTAATTTAGCCACATTTTAGCCATTTCAGACCTCACTTTTAACCCCCTCTGATCCCTTCTGTGAGCCATATTCCATATAGAAATTGTGCAGAAATTATACTAGGCTTTTCCAAACCGGCTTCCCCTAGAATGGCTTGCGGAATTCGTGGCTGATATATAAAGAGACTTATAAATTCTGTACAATAAAGAGCGAAAATTCTATCCCTGCACCAGTTTTAACTGAAGTTTAGTTAGTGCAATAAAAACATTCTATAAAATTTATTATGTATATAAAGATATCAAGGGACGAATGGCGTAACTTAATCCGCTATAATCCGGTTATAAATTGGTCTGGTCGCTGGGGCAAATTTAGGTCCGATGATTGATATGCTGCCATTCTTTAGACCAATTCAATATTGCTAACAGTACGGGTGAACTGCCTGGCAATGACCAGGGTGGTTATAAAAGGCTGGTGAAGTGCGTTCTAAAATGGTATTACCAGGCCGATTATCGGGCTATTAAGTCAAGAGTTACTTTCATAAACAATACTAAAGAGTACGGATGTCTGATATTAAAACAATCTAGAGTTGTATTGAAGAGATACATTATATTACGGCTGTTCTGATAATTTCTAGTGAAGCAAATAATGGCAAGATGAATATAAGCAGACTATTATAATACTCGATAAAATTCAATAAAAGTCAATGATTACAAGTTCCAGTGATAAATCATTCTGAAATAACAGACAATCAAGACGGGCGATAATATTGTTGATATATGAATTAGGGCGTGTAGTACAAGTACAACATGAACAGTTGAAAATTTGGACTTATGAATAGACAATCATGGCGCCACAGCCCAATTCAAATATAACAACCAGGAAATACTATCACCTTATCGCAGATTAGTATTACATGATAAGGACTAGGATGTAATCAACACTAAAACAGATGTTCTATACATTATACATCTTCAGTTTTAATGACTCAAAATATATCTAATAGAAATAAAGTATAAGAATCACCCTCACATCGATTGATATGCAGGAAATAATTTATGATTAAAATACGCGCTCGTGGTGGAATATTCTAGAATGCAATAAGTACAAGACCCATAGGCGTGAATATATTGATATTCGATGCACTACGTATCAATAAAAAGCAAATTGGGCGCGGCATACAGCATTCACTGTGTCATAAATGTGGGAACGTGAGATCCTAATTTTACGTATTGTATCTTCGATATCTGAAATACTAACTTATCGAGAGCTATATATAGCTTGGACATTATGAACATAAATAAGTTCAACATGTCTAGTTTTGCTTTGGTGAGATTTATAACTAACGTTTGATCAAATTCTGCTTTCCCGGCCAAATTTGGCTCCAAAGAAAGTGTGATAAAACATTAATCACATGCCTTCTCATGCGATATCAACATTTTCAAAACTCGGCAAGCCTCGTGATTGAAAATGTCGATATAACCCTCGGCAATCCTCGGGAAATATCGAAACTTTCGCTAACTCGGCAAGCCTCGTGGGCGAAAGTTTTGATATCGCATGAGAAGGCATGTGATAAATGTATAATATCCAATTGCGATGATACAAGAAAAGATAATTTTATAACCATTAACTTGATTGATCTATATGACGTATGATAGCAATAAAATCACAAAATTGGTTTAAGGAGTTTTTGAATGCTAGCATAATAAACTAATTTTACTCACGACTTTAACTTAAAGGTTCAAATAAATGATAAAGTTCTGAAATCGTCGTGCTTGCTATGACGAAATGGGGTTCAAAGAAATGTGTCCGATACCACACTTCAGCCAAACTTTATCATGGGATTATATTAATAGGTGATTAAGTATGGCCTCTAAACGGCCATTATACGGCTTCTACACTGTATTATCACAGTGCTGGCAAGCACGACCGTTAGTTGCAGGTTTATTTGCCCCTTTTAGTACTGTCAGTTATGCACATAAATCTGCACGAAGTGAGGTATAACTATAAATAACTCAATTTCACTCGGAGACAACGTTCGCGTTTTTAGCTTGAG